AGCCAAGTGGAATTTTCGGCTATTCTTTTTTGTTCGTCCTGCTGCTGCCTGGCAGTTAAATACAGTTAATCCCTGCATTGCTGGCAAACAAAGTTTGGCAATTTGGGCATCTTATTCGAGACCCTTATTCCTCCCCCCCTATTGCGCGTGAGACTCCCTTGCCAACGCTGCTGTCGAGACTCTGATTCGACGGGGGAGAGTTTTTCAATTAAAGTGTTGAAAAATTTAAAGTCTCGCCGGCTTACAGCAGCACAGAACACATGACAAATTAGCTTACTAATGAGCCAAGACATAAATCTTGACATGTTTGGCTGTGCCCACCCCCAGTGTTGACACGTGTACTTGTCCGGGCTGCTGTCAGGCAACATGAGAGCCCGGCAAAGGCATTAGGACTTTATTACAGCAACAAGACGCAGGCTCCTTGGTGGTACGACGTGTGTGTGTGTGGGCGGGGGTAGGTATGCCTCGGCGACGTTATTGAAATTAACTGTTAATACAAAGCATGTCAAACGCTTGACTCAACAATGCGCTGGCTTAGTGCACATTACAATACAGAGGAGAGTCGTGGAGGAGAGTGCCATTAGTGGAGTGTGTGTGTGTGTGTGTCGCTGTACGAATAATTAAGCACATGTTAATACGCTGATTAGGTTTACACTGTAAATTGGAGACACGAATGAAGCATACAAAACAGTGACGTTGTCTACATGACTTGTGGAGAGTTGTGGAGAGATCAGGTAGACGCGAAGTCAAAAACGTTTCTTGCTTCTCTGCTGCTGCGCGCAGCCGATCAATTGTGCATGGGGCCATACGAAGCTCTTTCTCTGCCGCTTTCTCAACGCAAAGCGTTGATGCTCTGCGTGTGCCGACTGCGCTGCTCGAGATCTGTTTCTATGCGCATAGCAAAGAGCGTCACAGCCGAGACAGATAACTGAAAGCTCCAGCTCCGGCATGGATTACAATAACAACATCGTCGCGACGCTGCCGGCCTCTGCTTTACAGACCCTTCTTTTGAGTTCTCGATTCCCCCGTGTCCGTTTTTCGTTATTTATTTACGACAGTTCTTCCACACAACGATTGACTGGAGCTCAGCGTTTACTCTCACTTTTAACGTTCCTAAAGCAGCAATCATTGACTTAAATTCTTCGGAAATAACTTTGCTCGGGCAAAGGTTTTATGCCTCATCCTGGGCAAATCTCCACCTAAGCCAACCGACACATTATCCGTGATCTTTGTGGCCCCCTCGAAAGCCACTCATATTTATACGCATTCGAGGCTAAATCTGTGCAGCAGCTGTTATAAATAATAAACGAATATGTGTGCGTACGTATCTGCGTACATTTAAATGCTCATAAATTTGGCTGCGGCTTTATTAAACTGTAGTAAAAGAGCTCAGCAGCCACTCTTGGCTGTGATTTCAGGCACGGCACTGCGCCCTGCCACTGCCTACTTTCGGGGGCAGCGCATACACTCCGAATCGGGTCGCCTGGCAGTCAGGCAGTAAAAGGCCTGGCATTCAGACCATTATTAGCATAATAAAAATACAAGCACTCAAACACATGCGATGAGCAGGAGGCCTAAGCCAGAAAGGGCGAGGGGGAGAAGAGATTGCCCTTGCCGCTGCCGCTGCCGCTGCCGCTGCCACGACGGAGTCCGAGTTCTGGACAATATAATTTTATGGTCACATTTTTATTGTACCAAAGAGTCGTCTTAGTCGCAACATCATCGCCATCATCATCATCATCAGCATCGGCATGGCAGTCTTTGGCTTCGTCGTCGTTTGCGAGAGGCGTTGAAAGCCTAGCCAGCATAAAATTTAAATGTTATAGCCCCTGTACACACACACACACACACACACACACACACACACTGGTTACCATAAATGCAATAACAAATTTTTCGAAAGGGGCGGAATGCAAATGGACACAGAGACCCAGAGCCAGACCCCGAGCCCATGTTAGTTTGAACCGCAAATTGCGAAGTACTCCACCTGGGTTACAGGTGCCACAACTGGTGCCCCAACTGCCCTGCTGCAGTCTGCGAATGCTTTAATTAAATATTCCATTTGCCTAAACCAGAAAGCCAGAAAGCCAGAAGAGCGCGCAGTTAGTTTCCGGCTACCGGTGGGGCACCCGCTGCAGCGCATCAATTCTGGAAGGTTCAGTGGTCGCAACTCCTCACAAAGTGAAGCATTAAATTCTCCGAAAACATAAAAACAACATTTAAATGCAATTGAAAGGCAATGCCACGGAAAGCCAATAATGAGCCGCAGAACAATTCACAGCTGAATAAATAATTTGCCACATTAATTGGCATTCAGTCGATGTAATCCTTTAATTGCTCATACGCCATGTGAGACCCTGCCGTCCCTTTGTGCTGTGTGTTGCCAAAAAGTTGAATAACAAATCAAAATCATTTACGCTGCTGGGCAATGGGAAATTAATTTTGCAGAAATGCCAAAAATTAAATGAAATTTCAAAGCAAATCGAATGAAAATCTGCCAGAAACTCGCTAAATATTTTACACAAAATATAATTGTAAAATTCTACGGCAAATAGAACCAATTGTTGGCTGTTTTGTTGCCCCAAATGGCCTTCAATGCCACAAATGAAATTTCCATAAATTTAATTTATAAAATCCCAAACCCAATTAATGTTGGAAAAAGTTCCTCTAAGCTCGGAACAATCATTAAAATTCAATAAAATCAAACATAAATTATCAGAAATTCTAATTTCAGACTACGTGACACATAATTCACTGGCGGCAGTGCCCCAGCAGCAGAGAGCGAGAGAGTTTCATTTTAATGAAAAATGTCAAAAGGAAAGGAAAAAAGTTTTTACAAGCAGCCAGCGGAAGCGGAAGTAATGCCAATGCCAAATGGGGGGGGGGGGGGGAGGCGGCAAAAGGCAGGAAGAGCAACACATAATAATGCCATCATCATCATCATCATCATCATCGACAATGGCGAACAACAACAGCCCGAGGATGGGCAGGAAATCGACGAGGAGCAAGGGCAAAGCCATCGACAATGGTCCAAAAATTGCTCAAGCCGAGAGCAACAAATGATGGAAGATGCCAGCAAATGAACAACACAGGGCACAAGTCGAATGCAAATACGCAGCAGGAAAATAAATGAGATAAAGGAGCGGGGAAGCAGATACCAGGGGCCCGGGACAATGCCGCAAGCCAGCCGCAGCACGCGCAGAGGCAGGATTACCCAGGCACATCCCTCGCCCGGCTATGTCTTGCTTCGTTAGAGCTTCCTTTTGGGTTTGCCCCCTCCTTAGAGGTCAAATGTCAATAAGTTAAGTGCCATAAATATGATTAAAACATATTCTCCCAAGCCCAGCGAGTGATAAATGCGACAAAAGTTTTGTGTCTTCGACTCTGCCGCTGTCTCTGCTCCCAGCATGTGGCAGCAGTTGCTGATGCTGATATAAATCCAATTTAGTGGCGCCCATAAAATCTAGGAGCCAATGCCCACCCACTTCAGCCCCTTAACTATTTGCATGATAAAAATCTTTCATCAAGCAGCAGCAGCAGCAGCAGCAGCAGCAGCAGAAACAATCTCAATCTCAGCATCCAACTTGCTCTCAACTTTCTCCACTGCATAATTCGGTTGGGTGGCCTTTTGTGTGGTAAACACCTAAAGTAGTAAACTGGGATTTAAGCCAGCCACCCACAAGCACAGCACACAAGGAGCGCTGCCTCACCTACGTGTCTATAACAATTTTACGTTGCTGGCATTGGCAAGGACAAAAAACTTTGCCCGGCACAGCAGCAGCAGGAGCAGGAGGCTAGAGCTGTTCCAGGAACTGCCTGCGATTGGGTGTTGCTTGAAAAGGAAACGTCCCCATAGCTGGGATATTCCTTTTATTGCCATGCGTGGTGGCATGGGGAATTGTGATGCCCGAATACATACATAAATTTCAACCTTATGTGCTGCTCCCTGCCTGCTCCTGCTGTACACCCAATAGGGACATTATGTCGTGCGCCCGAATCTATAGAATATGTAAAACGTTGCGCTGCAAAAAGATTAAAAATGTTTGCAATTTTAATATCCAAGGCAGGGCGGGAGCCAGCACAATTGCCAGACAAAGTCACTGGGCAAACAAACAAAAATTTAAACAAGTTTAAGCAAGAAAAGGGGCAAGGAAAAAGGCAAAGAAAGGGCTGGGAAAGAAGCAAAGAAAGCTTCCCAGCTCAGCCATACATTGTTTGTTCTTTCCTCAGTAATTGTTTTGCCAAAAAGTTGCATCAGCCTCAGCTGTTCAGCTGAGAACAGTAGCAGAAATGGAAGTGTTTTAAATCAGCAACTAAAGTTCGATTTTTAGTGGAAATCTTCTCAGCTTTGATTTCCAGCTGGAGTACATCAAAGGGCAGCCAGACTTTCCCTTAAATATTTGAGTTTGAATCCCAAGAATCAACTTTTACTTTGGTGTGTGTGCGGGGTGTGGCGGAAGTTTTCCCTTTCAACTGTGCAATTTCCATTTCAGGCAAGCCTTGACCCTTGGGTAGCTGGGCTCTGGGCTCTCGGCTCTGGGTTGTCCTGCCCGCAAAGCTGCTTAGAATCATGAATTCCATCGTTCATCTTTCAGTCCTTCATTGTGGCTCCTTATTAGGCAGTTGGCGTGCACCTTTGCTGAAAAACTTGCTCCTGGCTGCCAGGCAACCGCAACCAACTTGCCCAAAAAAAAACACACAGAAAAGGAAGCAAGACGTTAGCCTTGGGGCCGCCGTATCCATGGCCTGGCATTTAAGATAAATGATCGCCTGCCAACAATGCACAAAGAGTCACAAAAACTTTGGTCACGTTTGTGCTATTTGGCGGCCCAGGCATATGCTCCAGCAGGACACGAGGCTGCTGTCCTGTGTGTCCTGGGGGGTTGGTTCTGTCTAGCGTGCATCCCACCTTGGCGCAATTTTAATATGTTTATGGGAAGCGAATGTGGTGCGGGTGGCACTTGGTTTAAAATTCAAGACACACGCAGCAGCTTAAACGTTTCTGGAAATCTATTTTTCAAAAAAGAGAAAGGCGCCGTGACAGGATGGCAGTCCTCCAGCTCCTGGCCGTCGCATGTGTGCGTGCGAATTGCATTTAATTGAATCGTCTGGAGCAGCAGGTGAAAGTATTTTCGTTGTTTGTCTTCCTCGAGTCGCGGCCTCACATCCACAGTGCCACGAACACAGCGACCAGCGACGCGATCATAAAGCCCCACATTTTGTTGAATCTTTTGTTGTCCCCCATGGCCATCTGACGATGGAGCTCCTGCTCCCAGTGGAGCACTTTCAATTCCACTTTCTGCCCCACTGGCTCGAGCGTCAGCTCCACTTCCTTGTACAGCTGCTCGAGCTTCGCTTTGAAGAACGCGGCCATCATTTTGTTTTGCAGAAATGCGCTCACTCCGACCTTTTGCTGCTCGTTCAAAACGCCACGCAACTCGATATGCTCGCCACGCTGCAGTTTGTGGCGCAGTTGCAGGCGGAGCACAAGGCTGCGCAGCACGACCGTCTGCCAGGGTGGCAAGTTGCAACTTTTGGCGTTTAGGATACCCTGGGCCTCCTGGTACTGGCCCTGGCAAATGTACCCGATCAAAAGTTCGGACATCTGGCGCTGATATGCGCTCAGGCTGAGCTCCTTGGGAAACATTTCAGCGACGAGAAGCTGCTGAAGCGACGGATTCTTCGTGGCTGGAACCATGGCTGGGAGACAGATTCGGGACAGGATGCGATTAGTTGAGGTGTTGCTCCAGCTCGGGGTATTACTTACTTGGACTTTAATCTGTTACTGCTAAAAGCTGCCTCCTGGGAATGACTTTAAAGTTTTCTACTAGAGATGACAGCACTCGCAATAGTGTGCACGCCAAGCCAGCGATACTTATGAATGTTTGTTCAAAGAAACATCGATATTAACTTAATAGTATCGGGCTCTAGGAATGAATGCAATAAAAAAGTGTGCCATAAGACTGCTCCAACCACCGCCTCTCTCATTTACGGACACATTGCGAAAAGGGACACAGAGAATCCGTTAAAATCTGCCTCTGCTCATTTCTTCGCTCCTCGCTCAAGCGTAGACCGATTCATGCACGCTGCCTTTTGCTTTTGTTTACATTTGCAAGCCCCAACAAAACTAACGGCACCTAGTGCAGTGCGCAGACATGCGAGCGTTGAGTTGTTATTGTCAGACACGATCGATCATGTCGCGGCACAAGCAAAAACACGAAACACAAACGAAGAGGCAAACAGTTATGCACGGTGGTGGATCTCCCACTCTTTCGTGTCACGCAATTATGAGTAATTTCAGGGAGGGAGAGCGACATATGTATATACACATGTATGTATGTGTTTGTACATGTTGGATTTGTGATCGAAGCGATGTACCTATGTGCGTAACTCACAGAAGGAAACGCTTTAAGCTCAATCAAATTGTTAAAGTTGTTCATACTATCGCCAGTGTTCCTCTCTGGTTTTGAACCTCTAGCCAGCATACTTTCTGGCTTCCCTCTTTTTTCCATTTGCCGGCGTCCATAAATCGGTACGGCACATATGGCAACTTTACAAGTGGCTCGCGTTGCCGTCTGTGCGCACAATTCAAATGGAAATCAAAGTGGGCGTCCATGAGTTAAACACTCGACGAGTGGCACGAGGCACGAGAAAGGAGCAAGGAGCAAGGAGCCACCAGGCAGCCAGCGGAAGCCCCCAATGTGACAAAGTCGCCGCCACACAGAAGCCAAGCCCGAGGCAAGTCGGAGGCACTTGTGGTTTACGACCTGTCCTGGAGCGGGTATCCTGCAAGCAGAAAATAAAATCACACACGAGTGCCAGCAAGTGGCAGGGATGCGATGCGAATGGCCCATGAAACATAAGGAGGATGCCTTAAAATGGCTGCTCCTGCTGCTGGCACTGCCATTGGGGAAATTTATTATTCTCGTCTAGAGATGAGTTCATTATGCGAACAGCAGTTGCCTGCCCGCCTTGCCTTTGAATGTCGAATGCGAAAACGATTCAATTTTATTGTTTTCCACATCAATTCTCAGCTCTCTGCCCGAATTATGCATTGTATAAAAAAACATCACATATGAAATTTGAGTAGTCCCCTCCCGGACCATGGCAGAGATTGTTCTCCATATAATTGAGTCACGTTTGGCTTGGGGCTTAAGTTGCATTCCGAAAATATTCAGATTTATGTCGCGAATGGAAAATGATTGGGAACTGATTTATGGCAAAGACAATTCATGAACAAATGGAAAAGCAGAGTGAAGTTTAATGACAAATAAGTGTAGAAAGCCTTGCCTTACAGGTAAATCCTCTCTGCAAATGCTTAGCTTTTGGTCAACGAAAACACAATTTAAAATCTCATCTTTATGTCTCACTTTGCCCGCAAACTAAAGCCCCCCATTAGAACCACAAATAAACCCATTTCGGGGAAATGATATCATAGCGGCGTGTGCAGGAGCTACGTGTTTATAATGCCAATAAGTTTGGATACCAGAAGGCAGAAAGGCAGAAATCAAAATTCGTGCTGGCATGCAAGTTCCTGCTCCTGCCATCGACAGACCTTGTAAACAGAACAAACGAAATTAAATTTATCTGTATCAGTTCCAGAGCTCCACCCCAAAGGAATGTCTCGCTGCTGGCACAGCTGCAGCTGGAGCAGTCGGAACGGAACACATGTTCGGACACAAATTCATCTGCCATGTCACAGTGCGCAACGGTATGCAGAAATAGTCTTTGGGGCGAGCTCTGGCTCTGGTGCTGCCATTCTGCAGCTTGCACGTGACAGGACTCGACGAAAAGTGAAACTTGGCCATGTCTATTCAACCCCCAAACTCGCTCTCCCCCCCTACACACAGACCCATCGCAAGTGTCATTAATCAAATGCCGCCCAATAAGTTGGGGAACGGCAACCCTTCGTGGGGTTTTCTGAATTTTTGAAATATGAACTTTCAGCTCTGACGAATGCCGACAGTCATTAATAAATTAGGGGTTAAAATGCCATAACAACGGGTGGGAGGGACAGCCGCTGAAAAGTTGTTCATTTAATTGAAAGCGAAACGCGGCAGGGCCCAAGCCCTCCCGCCACTGGATTTGCTTAACTCAATTAAATTAGGCCAGGGAGGGGGCTGCGGAAATCAGTTTAGCTTTGATTTAACGAGCCGTGCAGTTGCTGTCAACAGTTTAAAGTTGAATTTCATTTTGATTACAGCACCCCGGAGAGGCACACAAAAACACACACAAATTAGACTCGAAAAACACTCGAAAATCACGCAAATCCCTCGTCCCGCCATGTGGAACTACGGCGAGTGCCGTGCGCCAGGACTGCAGCAGCAGGAGCAGAGCGAGGAGATACTCAGCAGCGGCACCGAGCCCACAGCCTCTGTGGGCGAGGAGGAGCAGCAGCTGGATCTGGAGGCGCTCTACGACGAGCTGGAGGCCTGGAAGCAGCGTCTCTGGCAGCTGCGCAGCAAGCTGGTTGTCAGTCCAAAGCAACCATGCGAGGCGCAGGCAGCGCTGGAGGACACAGACGAGTCCTTCCTTACCATAGAAAGTCGTCAGCTGGTGGCGCTGCGTCGGCAGAATTGTGTGCTGCGCTGCCAACTGCAATCGATGGCCGCGCACCTGAAGGACAGCCGCAAGGAGCTGAAGGAGATGGATGCCTGGCGCTGTCTGCTCACCACACGCATACAGCGACTGCGCAAGGAATTGGATGTCTTTGGGGAGTTCCAGCTGCGAGCGATCCATCACTTTGGCCTGTGCATCGAGCGCTGGGAGCAGCACAAGGCCTGCAAGGTGGAAAACAATGTGTACCGCCGCCGCATGCGGGAGCTCATCCAGCACATTGATGGCAGCCGGGTGCAGCTCGTCCCCATGCACTGCCATCGCCAGACGTCCCAGCACTTGCGCAGCGAGATCGTTCAGACGCGGATCTTTCTGCACAATCTCTACGAGAGCATGTTGGCCCATTTGCGCTTCTTTCATAGGCAGTTTAGTGTCAAGTGAGTTGCGAGAGACTTCATTCTGCTTAATCCTTAATCCTTTTCCTTTGCAGAACCCACGTGGTGCCACCTGACACTCACACGTCATTCGTGTCCAATAGTCCCTCCTCGCCAGCCAACTCGCTGCGCTCCGAGTTCCGCGACTCGAGTGACTTTTGAGGCCTTAATGTTGATTTTTATTTCCCAAATTTATGTGCGGGGCTCGGGTCGGGTCTCCTTGTAATTGCTTTGAAACTGTCGCCCAATTAGGGTTATTGACGTTCCCTTCCCTTGATAATTACAAAATTTCAAACTCTGCGGAAAACGTGGCCTTAGAGTGGGGGTTGTGTATCGCTCGTATCATGGACTTCCCAAATGTGCGCGCATTCCCACCAGGATAAGATGGCAAAGCGGCTAAATAGGAAACGGCATCAGATAAAAACAAAAGCAGATTTCGCCACACGGAAAACAAAGCAGAGGAAAAAAAATGGGAATCAAATCCTCACCACAGCACGAGCGAGAGAGAGAGAGAGGGAGACATGAAGAGAAAGCTGAGCTGACAGCTCGAAGCTAAGCAGCAGCAGAAAGGAAGGAAGGAAGGAATGGCTGAAATCCTTATCCTGCTCCGGCTCCAACTTCATCTGCCGACTCTCACATTCCCATATCCTTTTTGGAGGTTGTCGAAATGCGTAAAAACTCAATTGCTGCGCATTTGACGGTGGGGGGTGGGGCGACATGGGTCGCTCTTTCGCCACTGAGTGAGATGCAAGATAACGCGGAACGAGCGAAAACGAATTTATTGGAGTCATGTGCTGATAAGCGGCTCTGTTGGCCCCCCCACCAAATGCCAATGCCAAATTACAATGCTCTAACAAGCGACCAGTGGCCCGAGGGAGTGTTAAGAGAGCAAAACGAAGAGCGGATGCACTGCATAAGAGAGCAGCGGTAAACGGTTATTGGAATGTGCAGAGCACAGGGAACAAAATGGAATGCAGAATGGGACACATACGAAAATGCACCTTTAATTTAGAATTGATTGTTTTCGCTTTCTGGAATATTGAGCAGCAGTTAGTTGCTTGCAATAGTTGCTACTCCCCTTGGCCATAGTGTATGCAAACACAGATACAAACACGCAGATACACGCTCTGCAGACAGCGACACAGAAGGCTGGGTTGGAGCTTGGACACAGACACCGAACGGGCTGGCTACATGGCTAAAACACAGGAAACGCATTAGATACTTTTTGGGCCAAACGCTGGCTGGCCAAGGGATGGCGCAGACTCTCCACTGGGGGCTTAGTGCGATAAAAATCTGCGTAAAATGATGCCGGCAATTTGATGAGCAACTAAGTTCGGGCAATTAGTTTTGTAAACGTGCGGAAGTAGCTCGTTGGATGTCCAGCTAAACTGTTGCAGGGCCACAAAAGTTGTGCGTAGGGGAAAGAGGAATCATGTGATTTATAGGGGGCACCTCGATTGATCGGGGGCAACTGACCTCTGGCCATTCTCCAGCCAGTCATTCTAACGGTGCTCCTGGCGGTTTTCGTGCCTTGCCTGCTCCACTGAACTCTTTGACAGGCCAAAGTAACAGAAAACCAAAAAGCGCTTTGCCCCCAAACTTGCTAATAAGCTGAATGTCTAACCTAAAGTAGGAATCAACTGTGGAAAGAGTAGAAAGGAGCAGGCTACCCTCTCCCCGCTCCTGCTGCTGCCGCCTTGGGCTGTTTTCTAGCAATTTCAAAGATACATTTCAAGTGCCCAACTTTTGCTACACTCCACGCTCTGTGTGTGAGTCAACCGCAAAAGTACAAATAATTTCCATTTGGCCAAAGCGGCAACATTTGCATTTTTCTTCAGTTCTTCTTAGACGCAGAGACAGAACCCAGCCCATTCCGCTGTTCCTTTCCCATTCCCAGTCCCACTCCCAGTGCCAGCCTCAAACAGGCAAACATGCCTGCGAGCAGCAGCTGCACAAAGAGGGGAGTCGGAGAGGGGGAGAGAGAGAGTGCCAGCGAGTATTTAAATAGCAAATAGCAGATACGTACGATACGTCGTCGTCGTCTACTTATAAATACTTTGTCGTCTTCGGCACAAGTTGTAGATAAATATGGCATAGATTACATAACTAGTTCTCTCGCTCTCTTTAGCATTCTCTGCCAAAGATAAGTGTATGCCGCCGACTCTCTCTCACACATACAGTGTGGGGTGGGGTGCTGGGCATATGCACAGTTATTTATGAATTTTCTTCTGCCTACCGTGCTGCTGCTGCCTGCCGTTCTGCCTGCCTTTGTGCAGTCTTCTGCCCGAGCTGCTTTCGAGGGCGCCGTGGCTTAGTTGGTTAAAGCGCCTGTCTAGTAAACAGGAGATCGTGAGTTCGAATCTCGCCGGGGCCTGTCCCTATCCCTCTTTGCCAACAGAGGGATTCTTTGATTTTTTATAACATTTTCCTTTCCCTTGAAGTGCAACATTTTGGCCATGGCCATTAAGGGCTTGCTTATTGTTACGACTGCCAGCTGACGCCTTTTCCTACCCCACCATTAACTTGTTTCTATTGCCTCAATAATTGTTTCAATAATCATTAAAAGCAGGCTGGCATTTTGGCTGCCACAGAGAAAGCTTTTGCCCTGGAGTATGGGCCACAAATCGGAACAGAGTCTGCTTTTGATTTTGATTTAACAATGCCCATGGTGCCGATAAGGCAACGGTTCGATAGAGGAAGTACTTCCCAAGTAGCTGATAAGATAAAGTAATCACACAATGACTTTTTCTTTTTCTAAACTCAAAGCTTACATTACCGTTTGAGGTCCTTTGTAACCGAATAAACGTTTCTAGCGGTGCTTTGGGCAGCCTTAAGGAACTTACGTTGAAAGCGCCTAGTTTACCTTTCGTTTGAAAGCTCTTACTGTACCGTTATTTTGAAAGCTCTTGTGTGACGCGTTTGTTGTTTCCCGTTAAAATTTAACAGAGCTTGCCATTAACATTTCTGTTATCTTAACAGTTGCCAACCGAAACCATGTCTCATACATCTCTGCCTCTCTGTGGCTCAATATCTCCAAATTGAAACAACTGAACAAATATTAATTTCGTAAATAGAGTCTAGAGTCTATAACAGCCGCAAATAGGCACCCACTGGTGGGAAAATGTTGCTCACATTGAGTAGTTGAAAGGTGCAAGTTGCAAGGGCGCCGTGGCTTAGTTGGTTAAAGCGCCTGTCTAGTAAACAGGAGATCGTGAGTTCGAATCTCGCCGGGGCCTGCCAACAAGGACGACACTTGGGTTGCTGTCTACTTTTTGTGCATGTTCTTTTTGTTCAATTTCCAATAATTTATTACGTGTTTAAGCCTAATGAGAGTGAGATGCTTTAGAAGCTCTAAGGATTAATCCTTGTGCACCAGATACAGGACAACGATGAGGAAGTAGGTGGGCCGCTCGAACACTAATTGTGTGAAGTTATCCCGCTTCTCGTCCATCAAGTGGCACATCCTCTGGTAGATGCCCTGATTCTGCTTCTCCACAATCGACAGCAGGCAGATAATGCGATGCCTGAGGAGTGTAAATGAATCAGCAGAGAGAGGGGAAGAGTGGAGCCACACTTACCGGCTGTGGTTTAACTTCTTGACCCGATCGCGTATCTCGGCCGCCAGACTCTCGACCAACTGCAGCGCCCGCCACGAGTCGTAATTGCGACTGAAGCGATCCCACAGCAGACGCTCCTCGATGCAATCTTCGATGATCTTGTGGGCACGTTCCATATTGAAATTGGTGTGAAAGAATTTCCAATCATTCTTTGGCTTCTCATTGCGCTCGCCGCCCTCAAAGCCAGCCACGCCCTCACCCTCTGGATTGAGGGCACGTCGACGGCTGAGCATCGACTCCGAGAGCAGAGCATTCATTCGGTTTGTGGTGCGAACCGATGCGGTTATCCTGTGAACACACAAAATTGGTAATTGTTTCTTCGATTAACATTGATTTTCAAGTTTCAATTTTCTATTTTGCCAGTGGGTCGCGTCCTACCGCGTTTTCATATTGCTCCAGCTGCTCATTGTGTGTGCTGCTTTGCCCGCTGGATATTCCGATAAATTGGAGCAGCCTCTGGCCTTTGTGTGCCGGCAAAAGGAAAACAAATAGCGAGCGCTGCTATCTGTGCACTGACAGGAATGTTGGCCAGGACGACATGCCGGCACGAGCTGCCGAGCCGATTCATGCCATGCCCTCATGGGGCATCCACATATCGTCGGAAAGTTTCTACCTTCAGCATTGTTGGTTTAGGCCCACTCTTCACATTCGGCTCTGGCGGTGGCAGTGGGAGGTACAGCAATTCCTGCCAGCTATGGGAAAACTAAGACGAAACATTTTCCAGCCAGTCTCCTCGGTTTATCCATTTGCCATTAAGTTCGTTCCACAAGTTTCTTGCATACCCAAACAGTGCACTCTATCGAGTGTTCACTGTACTTCCTTTAGTTGGCATATTTCGAGGCACTCTCGTGTCACGCTGCCAACCCTAAGTGGGCGGAAGCCTTGCGTGCCGCTAATCATAAATCCAAGACAGAGCCCACCGGCGCACCGGTTGATGGCGGTGGAGACGTGGGTGTCATCGCCACCAGCCACTCGACGGGGTAGGAGCCAGCGGAAAGGCAAAGTGTTGCCATATGGGAACTGTTTGTTTGTTTGTTTGTGTGTGTGAGGGGAAATTACTTCGAGCCACGAAGGCGGCACGCGATTCCTTTTTGAAGTTGATGACTTTTGATCCGTTTGCCCTGCGACACCTGTGTGAGGTCTCTCCTCCGGCCCACGAAACTTTCAAGCACTTTGATTGCTTTTTATCGCGAAAGTTTTTGTTCGATTGTAGCGTATGCAAACTTCGCTCTGGCCACCCAAACATCTATCTAGCTATGTACATAAGTGTATGTACACATGTATGTACAGTATATGAAGTTATTAAATTGATATAACTGTCAAGTCTCGTGTGCCCTGTTGACGACTACTCATTGTAGTACCCAAATGGCCGGGAGACAAGTGGAAGCGATCAAATATTTCGAATTGGGGCAGGCGCCCAACAGTCTGGGGAGCCGCCCGAACCTTAACTTCTGCATTTGAGGGCAAAACAATCGAATCTAAATGGCAGAACTAATCACTATCTATTTTTTTATAGTGTAGGAAGCGATCCAAACAAATTCTGCAGCAAATGCAGGCAGCTATGCAACTTGCTAGCTACATTGCAGAATATTGGATAAACCTCTCCATTAAAACATGCCAGGAGTATTTCTGTTCCCAACCGGTTACCAGGTTACTAATTGCCAAACACACAAAAACTTTGTCCCGACACACGCCAAGGGGTGCAAGGAATAGGAACAGTGGCGCTTTTTTTATGCGATTTGTGTGAGAGAAATTAAACAGCAGCTAAACAAATTAGGCAATTTCCGCTAATATGCGGGCAACGTGGGAGTGCTCGAACTCATTAGCACCCGGCTGCACGCGAAACGGTGAAATTTTGCATGGATGGAACTTACGCTTGCATGCGACTCATAACAGCGGCGCCTCGGCCTATGCTACGTCTAAGCTGGATCTGTAGTTGGAGCTGGTGCTCTGCCTCCGCCAGAGAGGGATTTCCGGCAAAACTGCACGGGCGCTCGTCACAAATGAAACTGGGGCTCTGGCTCCGGACTCCGGGCTCCGGGCGCTCCCAGACATAAAAGCGCAAAAGTCAGCAGCTAACAATGTGTGGTGGAAGGGGGTTATGAAAGGGGTAAAGGTGTACGCGATGATGGTGATTGACTTACGAGCTCTGACAGCACAAACACACCCACAAACGTATGCCCTCACACGGGGGGATATGAGGGGGAATGAGCTCGTCTCCGTGGCACTCGTTAGCTCTGCCTTTGGTTTGATTTAGGTTGGCATGTCTACAGACAACTCAGCAGTGCCTGAAAGAGAGAGAAAGAGTGAGAGAGGGAGAGTGGTGGGGCAAATGTGTGCCAATGTATTCTAAATTGTGTTTATTTTGAGTAATTTGCAATCTACTTGACACAAACTGCCTGTTTCTGCCTCTGCCTCTCCCACTCCCACTCTTTCTCTTTCTGTATCGCTATCTCCAAACATTGCATGACCCTGCCAAGGCAGACAGTTTAGCAATTAAATTTGCAGTTAGCCAACTGTCGGCATGCACATTACTGCGAATCCTTGGAGAGTGTGGAGAGATTGAAAAGGGAGAAGACTGGAGAGCATGTGGAGAAGCAACTGCAACTTTTTGGAGACTCTGAGAGTGCATGTAGAGCGTGTGTGAAGAATGCTCGTAACAGCGCCAGCGTATTTCTCCAATTGCGGTAATTAGATTAGATATTCCGATATTTGCAGATTATCGCAACACACAGAAAGACAGTTAATGGGGAAAGAAGAAAGAAACCTATGTAATAATTAAAAATAATAATATAGTAAATCTAAAATGTGAATTAATGATTAAACATGATTTGCGATTTATTTCCCAAAATTAATCGATGGCACAGAAAAAAGTGAAAGTGGTAACCAAAAAGTATGCAGCAATTGAAAGAATTGGTTGCCCTCAGGCACCATCAGTAGCTACGGCCACTAACCAAATAATATAGCAATGGAAACACATATGCAAATACGATCAGCAGCCAGAAATAGATTTACAATTTCGTGGAGCTTGCCTTGTGGCAACGCAACTCCCCGCTTACTCACTCTCCAAGTACCGTAACAGTCACTGTAATCTGTAGAGGGGATAGTCCATGACTGGCCACTGCTTATCTGCAGACTCCTGAATGTAATAAATGTAACATTAATAATAGTAGAATCACTGCATGGTGTAATAGTTATTCACCCACACTCTTGACCACAACTCTTCCAACTAGCAATCAGCACCTCAAATGAGAAATTTCAATGTTGTTTTGCCGTTTGGAACACAATAAAAATAACATTGTAAAGTAGGGTGCCATTTTGCATTGCATTTAAGCCACAGTGCCAGTCACTAGCTGTTTTGGTGTGTTTGTTTTATAGTGGAAGCTGCTAAAGAGAAGAAAAACCGCTCATCTGGGATTTTTAAGTTATTTTATTTCTTGCTACGACTTTTTGTATGGAATCTTGCATTGCTAAGCATATTCCCATAATTGTTTTACAGAACCGATTTACCATTAAAAAAAAGGTGACGCCACTTTGTTAAAGTTATTAATTTTGGCCAACAAAAGTGGTCATTGGCACCATAGTGCAGTGCAGGGGCATTGCAAGTCGAGTGGCTGTCAAATAACGGTGCTAATTAGGTACAATTCCATCAATTCCCCAACGCGTATTCAGCTTGCTCTCTTTCGCTGCTGCTCTCCGCTCTCCACTCTCCACTTCCCACTCTCTGGTGGGCTGAGCGTTATCTGGGCACAGCACAGCTGTGAGTACAAAACACCCCGCGTTATCAGTTTGCAGTGGCCTAGGGGAGGTAGATAACTCTAAGCTTCAATGGACTACGGGGCTGGAGGTGTTGTGATGTTGTGCGTTTTGACTGGCGCGCGGCGCTCAGTTACTTCCAGTTACTGCGCGTGGCCGAAACGGAATCAGCCCCAAAATGAGCTGCGGCACCAAGACCCTGAAGATATCCTCCTTCGTGTTGGACTTTCTTTGCTGTGTGAGTGTCTCTTATCGCCAAATCCCCCCACTGATAGGCGTAGTCTTACTCATTACCCACTTTTTTTTTTGTCACTAACAGGTGCTGGCGGCCCTGACCATCGCAGCATGCGCCTACGCCTTGATTGCCTTCAGCCACAGCATGGCCATTCGTGTGCCCTGCATTGTGGCCATAGTCCTCGGCTCTCTGCTCTTCGGCAGCACCATCTTCGGCTGTGTGGCGGCACTTAAGGAGAGCATTCGTCTCACGTGGATTGTAAGTGGCCTCCAGCTTCGAGTATTTGTGTGTTTTCACAAACTCTTTGCACTTCCCTTTTAGTACGCGGCGATTCTGTTGGCTCTGGTGTTCGGACAGATCACCGTTATATTCGCGCAGCCCATTAACTTTGAGCTGCTGGCTAATGAGACCATCCACAGTGCCTGGCAGGGCCAGCTGTATCGCCAGGGCGGCATGTCCTATTATGAAATTAAGGTGCGGTTCGCATTCTTCACAAATTCCGCTCGTATTTTAATCAGATTTAATCATTTCCTTTTGCAGTACCACTGCTGTGGCATGAGTGGACCCTCGAACTATCCGGACAGCGGGCTGCGCATACCGCAGAGCTGCTACTTTAACCAGAACACAACCGTCACCACAGATCTCTACACCGTGGGCTGCGATCGACAGCTGGCTGCGGCCTTTGCCAAGGGCACTCGCTGGGAACGAATTGGCGATTGGTCAGTTGTCGGTGTGGAGGTGCGTCTAAAACATAACTTCTGTTATCAAGCTATCCACAAATTAATTCTTTATTTAACTTTCAGATGCTTAGCGTAATGGTTGCTGGTCTGCTGGCCATAACCCTACAGAATGCCGAGCGTCGACGTCCATATCGTTAGATGCTTAGTCTGAAGCCATATATAAACAGTATTAGCAGCTGTACAAATATGTTTAGTTAATATGTTTAGTGCCAAAAACGTTTAAAAGATTCGAAATTGTAACTTTATAATTGAATTGATTCTGGTTTGTTGCATTTTGAAAAGCGATAACTGCGCGCCACAGCGAGCCAGTGCTGCACTTGAACTATTTGAACCAAATGAACTGCCCAGCGCGAACTAGTCGAACTATTCAAGAAAATAAAAAGGTTTTTTTTTTAATACTTTATAACAATTTCGAGTTTTATATTGTCCCATCAATTGGATATGGACTAGTTACCAAAGCCTATGGAACTATACCCTAAGTGATTACAAAGCACAACAGTGTCTAATTAAAATTTGCAGCAACAAGTATGAGAATATAAATGTAGCGTTTCAGTGGTGATGATTTAAATGGCCGTTGGCACATTTGCTACATAAATATCGATAGAGCCATACTTTAACTTCTGTAAACTTGTTGCCAGTTCCAGTTCCAGTTCCATCAGCCGTCAGCTGTCTATATATATGTGTAGTTGCGGTGGAGCAACTGTGTAGCTTACTTTGTGTTTTAGTGCTGGCTAACATGGGTTAAGCTGAACTAGCTAGTTCTAGGTAATTTTTTAGGTTGACCTTTTTAGTTCTAAACTTAATTTGGAAACATTCCAAGAAAAGGAAGTCATTAAAACCAGCCAATCTTGCGGAGAATTGATTGATAAATTATATAAAATTATAGTTTTAGTCCTGAGACTCTTAACTAGCTATTAATATAAAATAGAACATCAAAATCGAGAAATATGATTTAAGACTCCGAAGTATTTTTTAAATGAGAAGGTATATTTTGGTATATCTTATCGATAGTAGCGGACTCAGCGTCGCAGCAGCGATTAAATACAAAAAAAAAACCCACGCAAAAATGAGCTCTCCAATTGGATTTTATAAATTTTCATAAAAGTTTGTCCTAAATTGGACAAAAACTAAAACAACTGGCTCAAAACCCAACCCCGCATTCAACTTGTCAACTTTCCAATTGGTGTTTTCTTTCAATTTGCTATCAAAAGGCTTCTTCTTTGGCCAGCTCCGCGCCCGGTGAAAGATGTAAACAAGTGCCATCCGCGAGAGAGAACAAGCGAAATGTATTCATAAAAAGTAAACAGTACAAAACAATTTTGCAAACTGGAACGCGTACGCGGCGCGTATTTTAAGGCATCGGAATTGTTCCAGCGCCACGAACTTGTGTGCCATACAGCGTGGAGGGGGGAGCTTCGGCTGCGAATCGCCGTTAGGCTATTGACTTGGCCAACAACAAATAACTTGATTAGTTGGCACCAAACAGTGCTGGCGATCAGACACACCATCTACCAGCTGCAGACGGACACAGCGGTCATTAACACGCAGGTGGAAGACAACAACATTTAACGATGGGTCTGCGCTTTCAACAATTAAAGAAGCTGTGGCTCCTCTACCTCTTCCTGCTGTTCTTTGCATTCTTCATGTTTGCAATTAGCATTAACTTGTATGTGGCAAGCATACAAAATGCTGATTCAGAGCTGCGGTGAGTAATAAATACAAAAAACATAAGAAGAATCCATTAGGACGGGGTGCTCCATCCTCCGCTTGGCATTGCATAATTTCCTGGCCATGTTGCAAGTGAAGTGTAGCCCCTGGCTGCCGTTCCACTCGAGCGGCTTGCCTCGACTTTCGGTTTTTTGTTGTTTCAAGCCTCCACTTTGCATTTCTTCTTGTTTGTTTTGCCATCGCCATGGACGGGCCTCGCGTGTTTTCGGGTTTTTATTGTAAAATGCTAAATTTAATATCCATTGTCACATCTTTGTCTATGCCTTTTGTGGATCACTTGCCCTCGCATCGCATTCGTTGTGGGTATCGACTCTCGTTTTTATTTCTTTCGTGCAAAGTCATCCGAAACCACCGCCCAAACGTCGCTCGCTGTGGCCCCACAAGAGCATTGTGGCCCATTATATTGGCAAGGGAGACATCTTCGGCAACATGACTGCAGGTGAGTCGACCGACATCAAGTCATAAATAAATAAATACATAAATCCATTTCCATTTCCATTGACAGACGATTACAACATTAACCAGTTCAAGCCTGTCCCTGGCGAGGGCGAGGACGGCAGACCCGTTGTGGTGCCGCCCCGCGATCGCTTTCGTATGCAGCGTTTCTTTCGCCTGAACAGCTTCAATCTGCTGGCCAGCGATCGCATACCACTGAATCGCACGCTCAAGGATTACCGCACGCCGGAGTAAGAACTTGGGGAACTTGCCACCAGTCCATGTACTCCAGCTAAGAGTTCGCTCTCTTCCTTTGCAGATGCCGCGACAAAAAGTATGCCAGCGACTTGCCCAGCACCTCGGTCATCATTGTCTTCCACAATGAGGCCTGGTCCGTGCTGCTGCGCACCATCACTAGCGTCATCAATCGCTCGCCGCGTCACTTGCTCAAGGAAATCATTTTGGTGGACGATGCCAGCGAGCGCTGTAAGCGGACAGCAGGCCCAGAAACCTTTAAACCTTGACCTAACTTAGTTGCTCTCTCTCTTCCAGCCTATCTCAAGCGGCAGTTGGAGAGCTACGTACGCGTACTGACGGTGCCCACGCGCATTTATCGCATGAAGAAACGCAGCGGCCTGGTGCCTGCGCGCCTCTTGGGCGCTGAGCATGCGCGCGGCGATGTGCTCACCTTTCTGGACGCGCACTGCGAGTGCTCGCGTGGCTGGCTGGAGCCCCTGTTGGCCAGGATCAAGGAGTCACGCAATGTGGTCATCTGTCCCGTCATAGACATCATTTCCGATGACAATTTCAGCTACACGAAAACCTTTGAGAACCATTGGGGCGGCTTCAATTGGCAGCTGAGTTTCCGCTGGTTCTCGTCGGACAGGAAGCGTTCCACAACGGAGATTGCAGGCAAGGACTCCACGGCTCCTATAGCCACGCCCGGCATGGCTGGCGGTCTGTTTGCCATCGATCGCAGCTACTTCTACGAAATGGGCGCCTACGACAGCAACATGCGTGTGTGGGGCGGCGAGAATGTGGAGATGTCCTTTCGCATCTGGCAATGTGGCGGCAGAGTGGAGATTAGCCCCTGCTCCCACGTGGGGCACGTGTTCCGCAGCAGCACGCCCTACACCTTCCCGGGTGGCATGAGTGAAGTGCTCACCGATAACTTGGCACGCGCAGCCACCGTCTGGATGGACGATTGGCAATACTTTGTCATGCTCTACACCTCCGGCCTCTCGCTGAGCGTCAAGGACAAGGTGAACGTCACGGAACGCGTGGCGCTGCGCGAGAAGCTGCAGTGCAAGTCGTTTGCCTGGTACTTGGAGAACATTTGGCCCGAGCACTTCTTCCCAGCGCCCGATCGCTTCTTTGGCAAAATCATCTGGCTGGACGGGGAGACGGAGTGCGCGCAGGCGTACAGCAAACACATGAAGAACCTGCCAGGGCGTGCTCTGTCTCGAGAGTGGAAACGCGCCTTTGAGGAGATTGAGAGCAAATCGGAGGAGTTTATGTCGCTGATTGATCTCGAGCGGGACAAGTGCCTGCGTCCGCTGAAGGAGGTGGCGCCGCGTTCCTCCCTGCAGCCGGTGACCGTGGGCGACTGCACATCGCACGCGCAGACCATGGACATGTTTGTGATCACGCCGAAGGGTCAGATAATGACGAATGACAACATTTGCCTGGCCTACAGACCGCCCAAGCAGGGCGTGATCAAGCTGCTCAAAAATCGCAATGCAACGATGTCGAACGTGATGCTGACGCAGTGCGCGGGCGATGTCAGTCAGCTGTGGAACTACGACATGGATGTGAGTGTGGGTCCTAAGCGCTGTTTAACCCTTCTTAACGCTTTCCTTATCCACCCGCAGACGCAGCAAATCTCGCATCGCGACACCAAGCTCTGTTTGACGCTCAAAGCGGCCACCAATGCGCGCAGCCAGAAGCAGGAGAAGGTGGTGCTCTGCATGCAGTGCGACTTCAAGGATATAACACAAAAATGGGGCTTCATACCGCTGCCATGGCGCCTATAGAATGAGCCAGGGAACAGAAGAGCGCACATTGCCAGGAACTCTCTCTCTCTCTCTCTTTTCTTCAACACAATGTGATATTTATTGAAATTTTATGAGCGAACCCCACTCGTTGTGTTCTTTATTTAGCCGAACCCACACAGACGCGAACCCACACGAAGCAGCCACGAACCCACAAGGAAACATTTGAGACGCGCGAGAGCTTAACTTTTTTGTTGGCTCTCGCAACGTTGGAACTTTAGCTCTACTCTATGTCATATTTATTAAGCAACGATTTGTAGGCTGTACGAAACACTTTTATATATTTCACATGAAAATAAAATCACCACCCAACTGATTGTAGAAAAGTGTCGCGCTGCACTTTTACTGTTCACTCTCTCTCTTATCGCCTGGGCTGGCCAGCCTCTTGCAATTTGCTTAAATTCGGCGCAGCAGCTGGAGCTGCCTTTAGTCTCGAAATGAATCGCTGCTACAACACAATTAAGCTGTCCGGGCTGCTCGCCAATCTGCTGTATATGGTAAGTCCAAGAAGCTACTCAGATTTTCACCCAGCTAAAGTCTTTGTCTGTTCCCACAGCTCCTTGGCATCGGCGTCATGTGCGGCGCTGGCTTGGGCCTGCAGGCAGCGGAGCCCAACACGCCGGAGCACACGTATTTCGTCAAGAGTCTGGTGCTGGGTGGCACCATCTGCATGATTGTCATGTTCGGCTGCTATGGTTTGATCTGCAATTTGCTGTGTGTCAATCTGATTGCAAGTAGCCGACCGAAGATCCATCTAAATGCCCACTAAATCTTGCCTTTCTGCCCCACAGTTCACGCTCTTTATACTCATCTGTTTGGGCGCGGAATACCTGCAGCTGCATCACTACCACAGTACCTCGCACAAGACCCAAGGCAGCGCCTGGCAGCAGCTGGAGCTGGCTTGGCATGGCCTGGACAGCCAACCGGAGCTAATGCATCAGTACGAGGCCACACAGCATTGCTGTGGCCACGACAATTCGACGGACTACAGGCAGCTGCATTTGCTGTTGCCCGCGAGCTGTTATCAGGCCAACGACACCTACCAGCAACAGGTCTTTCCGCGCGGCTGCCTGGAGACTTTGAGCCACAGTCAGCGGTACATTGAGCATCGCGATAAGCTCTTCATGTGGTCCATTGTTGGCCTTGAGGTGAGGCCTTCCAGCTGCTGTAAGCAAGACGAAACAGTGACAGTCTCTACTCCTCAGATCATTATACTGCTGCAGACAGCCGCGTTCAGTGTGTTGCTCTACAGACTGCGCCAGCAACGGCGTCTCGCGCGTCGCCAAGTGCCGCCAGGTGTCAGGCGGGAGCCGCGCTCCAACCATGTGAGGGCTGGCTCGCGGGCACAACTGCTGCATGCTGGCGATGTCTAAGCTTCGATTTGTGTCAAATATTTCGTTTATTATTTATGAAAATGCAGAAAAATGAGTGTATGTGTGTGTGTGTGGGGGGCATCAGTAGGCATAGCGACGTGTCTTGTTGGTCAGCTGACAGCACAGCGTGATGCCCAAAATGATGCCCACAAGCTGCAAGAGAAACAATTAATCAAAGAACTTTGGCGGCCAGAGTAACGGCCTCACCTCATGGCCAATGAGTCCGCAGTGTGCCCACATCTCGTAGCGATAGATCTCCAGAAAGGAACGCTTTACGGCCGCCATGCAGCCCTCGGCATAGGGATGCAGCGCGTGCAGACCATCCTTGGTGTGGAAACAGCTGCTGGGCACCTTGATGTTCAGGCTCGTGTAGTCGCCAAAGCCCTTGCTGCCGCAGCACTCAAACTAGAGTCGGGGAAGGGCAAACAGTGAGCAGAGTTTTGCCAGCTGATTCAGCCAGTGCTCACCTCTCGTTGCAGCTGCTGCATGGCGCCTTGGTGTACCAGCTCCTCCATCCACAGCGACATGACGTACACCTCCGTGGCATCCAGCTGCTTTGTCTCGTTGTAGTGCGCCAGCTTCCAGACGTGAGCGACAATCAAAGTGCCCAGCAGCGTGAGGTGCTAAACAGGGGGAGACAGCATAAGGGGAAATCCAGTGCAAAGCCAGTGGCACAGCTGCTACTCACCAGCACCAGCACCTTGATGGAGCCCAGAAAGGCCCCGAGACAGCCAACGAGTGCCGCCAGGATCAGAGTAGCCGCCATGCCCAGCTGCACAAATTTCTGTAGATGCTCCGCGGAGCCCTCGTCATAGCGATCCAGCTCATAGACACTAGCCAGCGCAGCCAGGATGCCAATGATCTAGTTATTAATTACAACTAAAGTCCATTAACTATTTCTTAATGGCCCAACAAAATAGCAACAAAAAAGCAGCAGCTTTAGAGACAAAAAGGCGACGTCATTGGAAGCGAGCGAGCGAGCGAAGCAAAAAAATAAAACAAAAATATTGGCACAAAAATAAATTGAAATTACTTTTGGTTTTTATTTATAAATGATCTTTGCGCACTCTCTCTCTCGCTCTCTCTCTCTCGCTTTGATATTTGTCGCTTAAATTGGTGAAAAAAGGAGAAGAAAAGTGAATGCCGAGTGACATTTTGTCTGGGCAGAAATGGAAAATTCTGTGTGGCATGGAGTGGGATTTTCTTTGCTGCCAAATTGGCCAGCTACACGTACACGAAAATGACACGAGCAAAGATTACAAACATGCCACAGAAATGCAAGAAAATTTTAATGAGCTATGAACATTACTCATACGCCGTGTGAGTCAAGGAGCGACACGAATGATATTTTTGCTCAATGAACTAAATGATTTATGGCAAAGCAAGCTACTTACTGCTTAGGCACTTCATTTATGTTTTCTATTTATTCGTGCACATAAATTACACATACGCCGCGTGGAGCGTTCGCTTACCAAAGTAATTGTATTGAAAACCACCGCAGTCCATTGCAGGCACACGCGTATTGTGGGCATTACGACACTCCGCTACTACTTATAAAACATATAATAACTATTTATATTTTATTTATATTTTTCACAGCACTCCAGCACACGAATTTCCCTCGCAGTTCGACGCGCGCCGCTTGTGTCCCAAACTGTTAATGCCGCGATGAGAACTCATTCAGCAAAGCAAAATGCAAAAATAAAGCCAAAAACCTCTAGAGAAAAACGATCACTAAGCAGCAGGCAGCAGGCAGTAGGCAGGCAGCAAATGTTTACAAATCCGTTGAGTGCCGCGTCCGTGTCCGTGTCCGGGTCCGCCTCGTATTTTTGTATTTTGTATTTTGTGCGGCAGTCGGGAGTCGTTACTCGGGATTTATATTTTTAATATGCAGACACGTACGCTCAGAGATCTACTTATACACTCGGCAAAACAAGAAATACATAAAACTTATCAAATATTTTTTGCTGTTTTTTTTCTTATAATTTATTCCACAATTTGCTACCAACTGGGCCTACAGAATGGGTGTTTGGTACGGGCTCCGTGGCGACCTGTTAGAATCTCTCGCGCCGCAGTTTGTTGCGCACCGTGATGCCCAAATGTGTGGCAGCTGCCAAAGCGGCGAACTGTGGGGAGGGAAACAAAATTGGAATTTGAATTTGATTGGAAAATTTTAATCTATTTCCGGCACGCCCTTGGCTAGGGGCTGCTCAGACTCACCTCCACGGCCAGCAGCAGCCACTTAATGACCAGCCCAATGGCCACATTGTCGTTGGCATGCACCTGGACAGCCGCCAGGCAGCCCTCGGTGAAGAGATTGTCCTGCTGTCGGTCAAAGTCCTGGTAGCAATTCGTGGGTATGCCTCTGCCGAGCAATATGTAGTCATGGGCACCAAGCTGGCCACAGCACGAGTACTGGGAAAACGCAATTCAAATTGAAATTGAAATCATTTCACGCGTGACTGCATTCCCGCCGACTCACCTTTTGCTCAATGAGCGACAGCCGCTCGGCATTGCCCTTGGGATCGGACCAGAGCGCCAGGAACTCGCTGCGCGAACGCTCCACATAGTTCGTGGAGTGAGCAGCCGCAATGATGTAGATTTGCAGGCAGAGCAGGATCAACAGGCAGATGACATACTGGGGCAGAGGGGAGAAAGGTTAGAGTTAGTCGCACATTTCGTGCCCCTTACTCACCGTCCAAATCAGACCCAGGGACACGCGAGCCGTGGCAAAGCAGCCCAGAAACGAGGTCAGTATGACAAAGGAGCCCACAAAGATCTGTATGACGATGGCAATGTGCTCGAAGGTGCCAGGCGTGGAGCTGTTCAGCTCGTACACGGACAGCGCAATCAGCGTCACTCCAATGAGCTGTCAAAGCAGAAGAAAGGAACTGCATTGCAAGAGGGACTCGGCAGACATTAGGCATACGCACCGATAGCAGCACATTGAGAATGATGAGTAGAGTTTTCAGAAAGGACACGCGACAGGCCATGCTTGCCAATCAATAAAAACGCACCAATTACTTATCTTTGCTTTCCTTTATCCGCTGCGCAGTTAACTCGAAGGCACAGGCGTTGACCAGCGGAACGCAGAAGCCCTTTCCCCACAGACTGTTGACGTTCGACTGAGCACCCCGAGGGCCAGTCGCTGTGGAATCCACCACAACGAAATGCCAACCCAATGGCTGGCTGCTATTAATGTTAGTGAATGTCGTGGGGGTGCCTCTAGGTGGCAGAGTGGTATGATGTCACGAAAGCTTTTTGGCACCAGCTACGCACCTAAGCAAGGGGCGGCGGGGGCAAAAAGCTTTGCCACAGTCAGGACATCTTTGTAGGAGTTATGGCCATTTCCACGCGCTGAATTATTATGCAAAAACGAACGACCTTGGGCACGTCTCTCAGGCAACAAGTTGCCAGAAGCTCTCACGTCGTATGCTTAATATTTCCAACAGTTTACACAACAGGCACATATTTTTATTAGCGATCATTGCAATGGACATAATTGGACTAAATACGAGTATATGGATTGTACTTAATTAGAGGAAAGTGTTTTTAGTTTTTAGTTTGTCGAATGAGTTTGTTGGTAATGAGAATTCCAAGGCGGGAAATACTTGAGTGACCATTTTTGTACTGTGCGGCAACAGGCCAGGCCGACTCTCGGCCAGCCTAGAACTGCAAGCGGCGCTGCTTGTTGCGAAAGCTGATGGCCAAAAAGACGGCCAAGGCAAAGCAGAGCAGCTGCAAAGACAAAAGGAAAGAGGCAAAGAGTTAGCGCAGCTCCGTGAAGAGTTAACTAAGACCCACCTCAAAGGCCACCAGCACCCAGGACACAATGATGAAACGCTCCTTGTCGCTCTCGTAGAAGCTCTGCACCTTCTCGATGCAACCATCCACATAGAGGTGATCGGTGGTCTGCTGCAGATCGGCATAGCAGCTGGGCGGTATCAGCTGATTCAGATGCACATAGTCCTGCGCACTGCTCTTGCCGCAGCACTCGTGCTTCTGCTGCAGTCCGTCCATGTTGTTAGCCTGCCAGGCCACGGCCACCGTCTCCTGGCCGCTCTGCACCTCGTACTGATGCAGCAGCATGCAGGTGCTCACAATTTGCGGTATGGCGAGGATCAGCAGGAAAACGGCGCTCTAGGAATGATCATGGTTCACACAAGTTCAGCTGAGTTTCCTCTTCATTCTTCGTTCCACTCACCGTTGCTGTCAGCGGCACCGATTCACGCACAGCCGCCAGGATGCCCAGCATCGCAAAGAGCAGTATGAGCGCGCAGGCCACATAGGCGGCAATGGCAAACTCCTCGCTCTCGGTGTCCGCATTGTAAGCGATCCAACCAATGGAACCCAATGCCAGTAGCTGAAATAAATTACGAGATGATGCAATTTCAATTGCAGTTTCCACTGGCAATTCATTTGCGTGACAATTAACAGCAGCAGCAACAAGAGGGCCGGGGCAGGGGCACTGGCACCCCCTTCCCGACACTGTCCATTATTTATCGCTTGGGGAAGTTCGCCTTTCCCCTTTGTTCCACTGATTTCAGTGTCTCACTTGTCTGCCTGTCTTGCCGTTTCACTTTCTTCCTTGTCTCCCTGTTCCACTATCCCACTGTTTCCCTGCTGATTCACTGTCTGCCTGTCTCCCTCGCTCCCTTTGTGGTGGCCAACCCTTGTTCTTGTTGTTTCTCAAGTGATTCGATACCGTTATATAGGTCAAACCATGAACCAGAGTGCGGAGTCAGGGCGCGTATGTACATCGGTATGACATCATCATCCTGCGGGAATCGAAATTGGAACAATTGAAGGCTCGCGCTCCTTGCGCCTGGGTCCGTCTGGGAATGGCCTAAAACCGTAAACAAGTTCGCCATGGCAACCATGACAGGAGGGAGGAGGCAGGCAGGCAGGGTGTTCGGTCGGTCAGGCGACTGCCACCTTGAGGCCATCGTTTCAGGTGTGCTCGCGACTGACAAAAACACGACAGAAATCGGTTAAAAATACACCCGAAGGAGACTACGAGCACTGGTACATATACTATAGGAATAATTTTTCAAAAATAATTCACTTTGAGGCTGTTTTTGTTGGACTTTTGAAGTGCGTTCGTTCACTTGTCCCCCATGACATCATGCTAATTTCCTTGCTCAAATGTAAAATGTACTCATACGTACATATTTACATACTCGTACATACGGACACATATCATATAGACTTTGCTGCTGCTGTTATGGCTAATTGGTATTCCTTATAGGCTATGTTGATGACTTACCCCTAAAATGGCATTCAGTATAATGGAGGTGATCTTAACGCTGGTCGTGGCGCAGCCCATGTTTGTAGATCTTGGGTATAGCGACTTCTTGAATTACTTGAATCAATTCGCCTTCTAACCTTTTGGCTTGCTTCCCTCTTCTACCCTATACGTTCGTGCCGATTTGTTTATTTACTTTCACGTTTTTCTTTTGGTTTGTTTTTCCGATTTGAATTTACAGCGATATAAATTTCCGTTAAATCTGCGTTCTTTCGGGATTTCCGTTCTCGAAAAATTCGTCTCTTGCTTGCGGCACGTTCTGCGTGTGTTTTCGAACTGAAAGCGGGAAAAGTTTTCGTCGTTCTCTTTTGCTCTTTCTTCCGGCGCCAGTCGTAAGAGCGGGTGGCGGGAGCGAGGCAAACGCACACACATTCGCCCACACAGCTGAGGGAGCGATGTGAGCGGTGTGAGAGAGACAGAGAGAGCGCGCGCGATGCACTCACTAGGGTCAGCGTCAGCGCATGGCGCAGTAAGCAGAGGGTGCGCCAGTCATTGTAGCGGTCTCTATTTCGTTTGCATGCAAGTAACCGGTGGGTGCCAAGAGAGCGTGGCAAACCGAGTCGACTACCTGCTGCTTTTTATACCTTGGGTCACCGCTCCAAGCAATGACGTCACATGCTCACGCTTACAGAGTGCTTTGACTTTGACTTTACTGCTGTGACTTGGTCTTACAGATCAGGCAGATTGAGGGGACAAAGAAGATGTAGATTTAATCAACAGATTGCTCAAAATTTGATTAAACTGTTATTGTCGCTCTGAATTCCCCGTCTCTGCCGCTACCTACGAAAAATCTACTTCCTCTGCACTGGATCTTGCCTACAGTTTTGTGACACCATGACGTCAATATGTCAATAAGTCAATGACAAATCATGTATTTAAGCTCCCCCTATCTGTCTCTGCCTGTTTTCCTCTCTCTGTTTTGCTTAACAGTTTTGTTTTCGAGTTTGTTTATTGTTGTTATGTCTGGAGCTGCGCATTTCTCCCTGCTCGCTCCACTGTCGCATAGACACGCACGCACACACACACACTCAGACAGCCTTTGGAACTTAATTATGTTTGGGTCTGACTTTGGTTTTATTTTTCGGCTCTTATTTGTGTCAACATACGGTACAGATGGGGTCAACATATTGTGAGCACACGACAGATCTCAACAGAACTTTCAACGTATGTACAAAGCATTAGAGGGAATCTCCCCGTCATCAAGCCTCTGTTGAAAATCCTTCATTATTCCACACGTAAGCACTCCTATTTTTCTGACCACAGCTGTTTGTTCCGTCTTAGGTACGCGTCGCGTCATTGATGAGAAGCGCAGAGCAGAGCTTTCCAATCCCGGTGCAATGCCGCAGATGAAGCAAAGCTTAAGCTAAGCGAATTACACTCCGCTGCAAAACACATGTACAATGTTGTTTGTATGAATTGTTTGTATATTTAAGGCAACTTCAATTGCTTGGCAAGTGGAACACATACACATACACTACAGAGGGCTGTGTGCTGCGTTTCTAAGCAAGGTACATCGGTGTGACTTACAAATGAGACTGGTAAATGTTAAGTAGATTGACTGATTAGGTGCTAAATGTGGAACGTGTGTTAATAGTTATAGCGTCGTCGGCGATTCGTGTAGTGTATGGCCAAGATGATGGCGAGTGAGAGAATAACGACCTGCAAAGATAACGGCAAACAGTGGGTGAGCATTTCTCCTGCAGGAATACAAATGCAACTCACATCGAAACCGAGCAGAACCCACTCCAGCGAGCGGGACACGGTGGCCTCGTCGGCGAAGGCCTCCTCCACTTTGGTGATGCAGCCGATCGCATACAGATTCAGGGGATTCACACAATTGTTGTCCTTGCAGCAGCTGTTGGGCACACTGGCGTTCCAGTAGCTGATCTCCAAATAATCCTGGGCACTATTACGGCCACAGCAGGAGTACTAAAAAACATTGAGAGACTTTTTTGTTAGATTTTCAAACAATGCGGAACGGAATTTTGTGTCTCACTGTCTTCTGGATGTAATCCATGCTGCCAGGCTTTGTCTGTTCCAGCTGCCATGAATCCTCGACCGTCTTCAGGGCATAATTCTTGAACACATCTCGCGGATTGTACACAATGAAGGTGGCTATCAGCACCAGCAACACCACCAGCAGCGATACGTACTGAAATTCAATCGAAATTGTTTTAATTTTTGGCTCTCAGATAACAGAATAGTGCAACATACCGTCCAGAGCATGCGCGGCGATTCACGAACGGCGCCACAGCAACCGAAGAGGGAAATTAAGAGTATAATTCCACCCAGAACGAGAATGCCAATAGCAAACTGATCTGGCATCGCCCCCCATCCGAGACCGCCAAAGATAAGCACCAATATGCCGAGTATCTGAAAACAAAAACAAACAAAATATGCCAATATAAATGGGGGAGCTTCAAAGCAGATAATCGCGCAATATCGGCTTTCGTACTCAATTGGAGGCGTATTCAATTTTAGTTTACAAATTCCAATCCCTCCCCCCATTTGGATCAAGCTTTTGGATTGGATGCTATTATTACTCATAAGCAAAATGAAATCATTCGAGAATCTAGATTATTCTTTCTCCTGCTGCTGCAGCTGCTGATCTCAGATCTACACAAAACCGAAAGTCCGTCCCCATTTTGCTACTACAATTCTGTGTAACCCTGAGCAGTCTGTGTCTGCTCCGGCATATCTTAAGCAATTTGTCAGCGCTGTGCTCATCACATCTGAACTCTATTGTCAACTAATCCGGTTTCCATGTTCCCATATTAAATTCACTTTAGCTTTTGAAGACTAAGCAGAGGAGCGGAGAGCATTACCACATTTAACGAAATCGAAATGCATGACGCATTTGAGCTGCTCGGCTGCTCGGCTGCTTTGGTCAGAGCTTTCCTCACGGCTCAAGGAATGCAAAAGCAAAGCACAAGCCATTAACAATAGACGCAAACACACACACACACACAAACACATGAGACTGGGAAGTGTAGTCATAAACTAGGCAGACACGCATACGAGATGATATCATCTGCGGGCCAGGTGGAAGTCTAATGGGAAGTCCAACTGCCCAACCCGCCAAAGCGATTTCCAATATTCGACACAAAATTTGGCTTACAAAAACTGCCAAAAATATTCAAATAAATAAACAGAAACTCTTCTAATGCCAAAACTTATATGGCATATGCTTGGAATTATATATTTTTTGTGCTCTACTTACCGCCCATAAGGCATTGAACAGGAACAGAGAGTACTTGATGGTGCCTGTTGCGCAGCCCATTCTGAATGTGTTTCTATTTTCCGCTCCAAGTGCTTTTTCGTAGAATGCAATCGAGACTCTGTGCAACACGTGCAACAGTTTGTTGTGTTCTTTTTTTGGGGGCAAGCGTTGTTGAGATTCCGATAGAAACACAGCCGGCCAGAATCGGTTAGACAACTACTTTCAACGGTCGCGAGCGAACTGAGAGAGCGCTGGAAACTCTGGCCACGGAATCCGAGTGTTGCCTTTGCCGCCACGCCGGTCGGAGCCAGAGCAAAGCAAACAAAGTCAGCACACGAGCGCAGCGCACACACACGGGCAGTAGGCAAACACAAAGAGCAAAGAAAACAAACCCAACAAAAAAGGGGGAAAAAAAGCCAAAGTCAAAGACCAAACTTTGTTGTTTCTATTGCTTTTGGTTGCTTCTAATGGCTTTGATGCTTATACATACGCTTTCAGAGTCGCTCAGTTAATGCTAAACAGATTCCAAACCAGATCAGCAATCTATAGATTCACTTTTGCTTGGTGGCTGTACTAAACTTCATCAACCGTTTGGTTAGGGCAGCAAAGCTCCGGCTTCAGTTTGTACAACTACTTTATTAGTTTTTGGTTTGTGGCTGGTATACCCTTTTAGGGTATTACAGTTCAGGGTAGATGTATGCCTTTTCAATCAATTAAATTACAAGAATGAGCAGCAGCTCGGCCAATTGAGAGACATTGAAGTAGCTTCTATAAGTATGCACATCCATGTTTTTGGTTAATAAATCTCCCAATACACAAAAAGAGTTATCTTATTACACTCTGTTCTGCTTCGTCGAGCAGTTAGAGCATCAAAAGTTCGCTTTCCTTTATTTTTGCCATTACTACGGCGGCGCTGTTGTTGTGGTTGTTGTTCTTGCTGTTGCTGCTGTCATTCGGAAGCCAAACAAACAGAATGTCTAGCGCTGCGGGTGGGGGAAGGGGATGAGGATCCGGAGCTGGTTCTGCTTGACACAACCGAAGCAAGCGAGCGGTGAGCGGCGGTGGTGGCTGTGGTGAAAGAGCAAAGAGAGCTAGAAGAGCAGGGAGAGAGAGGCACTAAGCTTTCAGTAGCGCCATTTGCCAGATGTTTAGCTCGAATGCAGTTTGGAAAGAGAGAGACTGACAACCATCACTCCATCTCTCTTTATTGCTGGCTCCCCTCCAAGCAATTTACGCCCGATCGCCACCGGTGAGATTGATTGAACATGATTGCGTCAGAAGATTGAGAATAAATGACGCCAGCCAGCAGCAAAACGAAAGATTAGCTCAGCCCCGCCACACGGGGGAATGGAATGGCAGTCTCCAGTCAAGTTTATTCGAACACAATAATCAGATAGTAGAAATTAGATCGGTCGGGGGGAATCCTTAGTAGTGGTAGCGCCTGCGCTGCTTGCGGAAGCGTCCAACGAGATAGAAGGCACCCAGCACCATCAGCGCCTGAAACATAGGAAGAACCATTAGAAGAAACCCAACAGAAGACAGCGGAACACTCACGGTTATGCCCACGGAGATCCAGTTGGTGTCGCTGGAGTAATTGAAGAGCTCCAGGAACTTGTCACCGGCGCTCTGGGCACAGCCAGTGGTGAAGTGCGGCAGCTCGTGGTTCTCCTTGGGGTAGCACGTGGCGGGCAGAGTGGCACGACCGATGCTCACATAGTCATCGGGTCCATTACGCCCACAGCAATCGTACTGGAAAGCAGACAACTCTCTCATAGTCGGGAGTATAATGCAGAAAAAAACAAACACAAACCGTTCGCTGATAAGGGTCCATGGCGCCTGGTTCCACCAGCTCCAGATCCCACTTCTTCTGCACCTCCTCGGAGGCAAATTTCCGTATGTAATCCTCATTGAACTTGAAGCCAAAGTTGCCCAGCAAACTAATGATGAGCTGTGCCAGCAGTATGAACCCATACTAAAATAAACGATAATAAAATTAGTTATAAAACTGAGAACATGGAAGAGGCTGCGCCACTCACCGTTGCTGTCATGCAAACATTTTCCTGGCAGATGCCGCAGCAGCCCAGAATGGACGAAACGAAGATCAGGCCGCCCAAGACGTACAGGTAAGCGATGTAGACGAGAGGTGCTTGGCCCAGGATTATCGTGGCAATGACTATCAGTGCCAGGCCCACAAGCTGACCCCACCCAAAAAGCAAATAAGATTAGCTTTGGTGTAAATACAATAATTAAATGTCAATGACTCGCAGCGCAGATGAGATTTTGTTGCATTTTATATGAAAAATGCGTCAGAAAATGAAATAAGAGAACTTTGGGAGATGTTTTCTGGGTAGAAAATTGCCAAAGAACAACTTTTGGCTTCGATAATGTAGAACGAAAGTGTTTGTATATTGATCTCAGCAAACTTGATCACAAAGAATGTGATCAACACTCATGAATATATGCAAGAATGGAATATTTATTGGCAAACGAAACACACATTCTATATATGTGTTCCCGTGTTCAGATTTTTGAACAACACGCAAATGCAAAGTTGTATTCACACCAAATAAAAAATAACAAAAATATCTTTATACTTATGCGGATTACCAGCATATGAATATCCAGAAGAACTTACCGCATTGAGGGAGTTAAGGGTGTTGAGGAAACACTTGATAAAGCCGGAAGTGCAGCCCATTTTGGCAAATTATCGAACTAAAACTTATTTAAAAGAAACCCAAAACTGGTTGGGAACAGCTGACAGAGAGAACACCAAAAGAACCAGCAAGATCGCTGTCCAGCAAGCAATTGAAAACGAACATTTTTGCTAATGAGCTGCGGCAGACAATCGAATCTCTGCGCTCTCTTTGCCAGTGCTGCCAAATGTTCGAGGAGCTGCGTGAGTGAGTGAGTTAATCGTTTTAGCATATGGAAAGTGTTTTATTCTCTAGTGGCAAATTCGCTAAATGGATAAATAGAGCTTTTATCTATATAACTATCGTTTATGCTGGGTTTAGGCCGGCTATGGCATTTTCACTTAATCGTTGATGTGGCTCTCATCGTCCTTGATCTTGGTCTTGGCATACTTTCGGGCGCGACCCATGTAGTAGGCGGTGAGAATGCCCATAAACTGGAATTCAATAAAATTAATAAACTCTTCCAATGAAACATTTTTCTAGTGCAAACCTCCAGCGCAATAATTGCCATGCAGCAGTAATAATTAATATTCGCTTGCATCTTCAAATTAGAATTGGCTTTGGTGGCGCAGCCCTCCTGGAAGACATGCGTGGGATTGGAGCAGTCAAAGGCATAGCAGCAGCTGGCCGGCAAGGCGCCGTTCTCCTCGCCAAGATAGTCCTGCGGTCCGTCCAGTCCACAGCAGCTAAACAGGCTATGGATGGGCTGCATTTTGTCATTGCTGTGTGACTTCTCCTCAAACAATTGCAGGATGCGCTCGTCAAAGTGCGCCATCAAATCTCCCTTCATGGCTGTGAAGGTGAAGAAGTAGGCAGCCATGGCAGCAATGACCAGGCCACTGACGAACATGTACTGTGGGCAGGCAAACACATTAGTCTAATGTCAGCTAGTGGAAGTCAGGCACTACTCACCACTACGGAGTACTTGTAGGACTCCTTGAGCGCCACATAGACGCCGAGAAAGGCAGCGCCAAAGACAGCCGCTCCAATGAGCGCTGTTGTGTAGCTGCCAAAGGTGGAGGCTGCGGAGCCCCAGGTGACGACGCCACAGGAAAAGAAAAAGACATTGCAGGCCTGTAAAAGAAAAGAGGTGAAAGAATTAGAGTGTTGGAAAAGATAGAGTTCCCCCAGCTGTATGCTTACAGCCAAATTAGTTACGCGTTTGTGCTAACCCTTGGCATTTTGCAGACTGTTTCTGCCATGTACATAATGTACATATATATATATATATAGAAATATAACAACAACTAATTGCCAAATCAACTTCATCATAATCAAAATGGTGCGCCTGGTTGTGTAAGCATTTTACATGAAGTGAAGGGACAGACACGACCATATCCAACTGTGTGCCAAGTGCGAACAGCTGTGCGGCGGAACACACATAAATATACGTATAAATAAATGTATAAATATATATTTAAGATTTTTATGTTCGATTTGCTTTTAGGCATCTTTATGCGCTGCGTTCGTCGCTCGCGTAATTTTTGTACTTATGCACAATATTGATTTTATTTTTTTCGCGGCACTACCGGGTTGTTGTGCAAGACTTTGGATGGGTCAAGAGTGCGGCGCCCCAGGGGATAATGGAGTGGTGTGGGTTGGGTTGCACACTTACCACTATCAAAATGCAAGTGGCAAATAGGGCGTACTTCCAGGGCGATATGGGAAACGACTTCTCCATGCTGTTCGTAAAGCTACAAAAAGGAAAGAGAAAACTTGCCATTTTCCCTGGTTTCAAAATTGATTAACACTCACATCACTGACGGCACTTATAGAACGGAAATTGGTTTCCCTATTCCAGCGGGGTGGAGGCCATTGTTTACTCTAGATTTAAGCGTTGGTCTCAATCGGAGCCCGACTTCCCCCGAACCCAATTCTGTAACAGTGGGGGGCACTCGTGTTTCTGTCTCAACTGCTGGCCAGCGACTAAACACAACACAGAACGCCACCAAGTGTCGCCGTCGAGCATTACACGCGGAATTCACCACCGCACGAAACCCAAACAAATAAACGAACAGAGCCAGAACCTCCCCCTCACCCCCCCCCTCCCCTACCCACGAGAAAACGAGGGCCATGGCGCAGCCGCAGTGTCGTGTCGCATACTGGGTGACTTTTTGGCAACCAAAAGCGAAGGCAGAACTTGGAGCGCAGATTTGGCGGAGGTGCTCTGAAGGTTTTCAACCTCTTTTCGACAAGAAATGATTGCTGATGATCAGGATGAATATCTACTTTGACATTCTAAGCGCTTAAGTGAAAGTTTTATAAATATTATTACAGCACAAAAGTTTAAAACTCCTTTGAGCTCTCTTCCAGCCAGTCGCCACTGTAGCGTTGCATCTGCCGCTTCATAACCCTGTACAGACGCCAGCCGCACAGCGCACTATTAGTCTGAAAAAAAATAAATACAGTAAATTCCAACTGGGATCTGGGCTTTACTTACCCCAACAACGATGAGCAGCCAACAGGCTAGTTTTAGCAGCAACACTTTGCTGAAAACATAATCCGTGAACTGATCCCTGCAGCCATACGGGTGTAGCGGGGAGTCAAACTCGGAGTCTTCGTCTATGCAGCAGCTCTTCGGGGGCTCGAGACTGATCTTCGAGTAGTCGTGGCTGCCGTTGACGCCGCAGCACTTTAGAAACTTCTCATAGAAGCCAAGGCGTCGCTCCAGTGCTGCGCCTCTGCGCTCCGCCTCCCACAAGTCGTCGAAGGTTTTGTCAATGCGGTTTGAGCTATTGGTGGCCTCGTACAGGAGCAGCAGTTGGCTGAATATTTGCAGCATTGCTATGGCCACATACTAGAGGGAAAAATGAATATTTGAGATTGAATATGGAGCAGAAAACTGGGAAAAACTCACATTTCTAAGCCAATTAGGCGACTCGCTTTCGGCTGCTTCCCTGCAAAAGATCGACAGGCTCAGTCCGACAATGCCCTGGGCAATGGTCAGAGCGCCGGCAACTTTCTCCAGAGTGCTGACCTGGTCTATAAAAAAGGATATGCCGCAGACAATAACCAATAGGGAAACCGTCTGCAGAGTGAACCAAATGTTAGACCCACATTGGACTCGTGTGGCAGCATTAACTTACGGAATGAACAAAGTTCATTGAGAGCAACATTTTCTGCAGTGACGATGCCATGATAAGAAAACAATAAAAAATCAGGAAACTTGTAGAGAAATTCTATCAGACTATCAGTTCCGAGTATTTTTGAGACTGACATAAAAACTAATGGATACTGTTTTGGTTTTAAGAAAACAGAGTTTAATCAAGCAGCTGAGCAACTGTAGATACCAGGAAAGCACAAGTCAGGCTCTGTTGAAGTGAAATCAATCTGCAAACTCCAACAACTACAACAAAATACAAGTAATGTACCGTTCCAATGACCCCTCAATACGATTCATATACAGCAGCTTGCTGTACATCAGATAACTGCAGCAAGCCAACGGCACTTAAGCTGCACTTGTAAATGTGGGGTGGTTTTATGCATAAAAGCAACAAAAGCTAGCAGGTAGCTAGCTGCTGTTTGCATATGTGCGTTTGGCGTAAGTTGGCGCATCGACGAAGGTTGCGTGAAAAGGGAAGCGCAAAAATCATAAAAGGTTCACTTTGTGCAAGCCCTCGCCAGTGTAGCTGCTTTTCTAGGTACCTGCTTCTGCAATATCGCTTGGTGTCCAATATGCAAACGCCAAATTGAAAACATAATTCAAAAAATTACCCCCTTGAAGCTATCATTTCATAAAATCATACACCGGGAAGATAAAATTCCATTATGAACCTTCTTTTACTTTGATTTTGTTGCGGATTTTGTAACTTAGAGGCATCCCAGACCCTTTTGAGCTGCTCTAACCCTCTTCCCTATGCAACCCATGCCAGCATTCCCTCAAGAGAGAGTACTCTCCACAACAGAGATGACTCTCCACAGCATAGAGCACTCTCCACAGGAAAAAGCACGCTCCACAGCAGAGACCATATCATTAGATCAGAACAACTTTTAATTGAGAAATTGTAAGTTGAGTATTAGATACAGAATTAAGCGATTTAGAAATTGCTTATTAGTTTTTGCTGTGTTGAGTTTGTATGACAAGTACAGGAGTGACTGGAAACCCGTTGTTAATGTTATTTAATTTAATACTTGTGTAACCTAAGCTGCGCCTTACATCCAGACCGCATTGTTGCGACGACTCTGGTTCTTGACGCTGCTGTATAGCAGCCAACCGAACACCGCTCCAACAGCCTGGAAAGGGGAGAGAAAAATGTTTGAGTGTGAGCTGCGGGTAGTGGGTTGTGGCTGCGACTTATGTACCTCGCCTAGGATGAGCAGCCAGCAGACAATCTTGAACACGAGCAGCTTGTCGTCGAGGTACTCCATGAACTCGGCCTTGCAGCCGGCCTTGTAGACACTCGTGCTGTCCACGCATTTGTTGTCCAGACAACAGCTGGAGGGTATGGCATGGTGGATGATCCAGTAATCCTCAGAGCTGTTGACGCCGCAGCAGTGCAGCCAGTTCTCATAGTAGGCCAGCGCTCCCGACTCATTGCGCTCCGCCTCCCACAGACGATCGAAGCCCTCGTTGATGCTGCCCGAGAGGCCGTCTTTGGTGCCGTGCGAGGCCATGCTGAGGAACAGCAGTTGGGTGAGGATTAACAGCACCACAACTCCCACGTACTGCGAGACAATAGAGAATGTTAGAGTGGAGATCGTGCTAAAGGAAGATAAGAGTTCGTATACTTACCATCAGCAGCCGAAGTGGCGACTCGTGAATGGCCGCCAGGCAGCCAAAGACCGCTATGATGAGGATGACAGCGCCCAGGCCAATGATTAGGCCCCCAGCCACGTTCTCACCAATGCTGACTGCATTCTCGGCGGCGCTGATCAAAAAGAAAATTCCAAAGGCAATCAGCACCAGTCCCAGCACCTGCAGAACAGAGGAGCAGAGAGAGAGAGAGAGAGAGGCACAGATAAACGCTACCCACTCGCACGCATACTTATGCACATTCCACTCACGGCAAACACAAAATTGAGCAACAGCAGCAGATGCTTCACTGTAGTGGCTCCCAGACCCATGTTGATGCTGGACACTAGACTCTGAACTGAACTGAGGACTGCGTCTCTGTGTCACTCAAATTATAGTGAATGCATCAGAGCAATTGGTTACGTATATGGTCAATAGCCAATAGCCAGTTTTCCGCTGACAGATACAGCAACAAGCACAAGGTATTGCTAGATTTATCTCCCGTACGCTGCTGATCGCTGCTGACCGCTGTGTTTCAGTGGCGTGAATCAACTGAAACAGTGTGTTTTTGTTTTGACTAAATTCTAGCTATATGCGTGTCGCTATATGCATATACTTTTATCGTACATTATATGCTCGTAAAATCTGTGAGTAAAAATCGAGAGAGGGGCCGAGCATCGCCCACCTAGTCGCCCCATTGCCGTGTGTAGCTTTTTCCATTGATCTGCGTTGCCCATCTGCTGGTCCAAGGTGAGTTTACTTACAAGGTGGGATCTTCAGCACTGTACACTCCATCCCTTTCTGGCGCTTGTCTATCTGCGTGTGGTGAGTAAGTTATTGGTCCTCCCCACACAGCGGACAACGTCAACTTGTGCCGTTTCTTTTCTTCTCTTTTTTGTTTGTCTTTTTCTTCTTTTTTATTTGTTTTAGCAGCGCACGCGTGGGCGTTGCAGGTTTACACATTTTATGAATGGAATACTAAATATCTTCCGTAGCCTAACTTGATTAATCATCGTAAATTACAATCACAATATGTCGCGGGGCACGTGGGCCAGGAAAAACACAAACACACAAATATAATAATAATAATAATAATAGTAATACAATTCGAGAATTATTCGATTTAATTATAGAATCGTACACGATCGCGATGGTTCCGTATGCTGTCCACCAGGTAGCAGGTGGTCACGGAGCCAGCAAACTGCAATTAAAATTGGGAATAATTGTTAGTTAAAATTCATAAATTCAAAGCTTGATTGAGCAATCGGAATGGAAGGGCAAACAAAAATCTCACCTCTGTGAGCATTAGAAACCAACTGAGCGAATGAAAATTCGCCGTTTTGGCGCTGAGATAATCCTTGAACTGCAGCTCACAGCCAGTCATGAAGAGATTCAAGGGCTTGGTGCAGTCCAAATCGAGGCAGCAGCTCACAGGCAGCTCCTTGTCCAAATGGATGTAGTCCTCGGCGCTGTTGCGGCCACAGCAGTGTAGCTGGAACAGAGGGAACTTCAGAGGTTTTCCCACAGGTTAGCCAATGCCAAACACTCACCCACTGCTCGTAGGTGTTCAGGCTGCTATTCCCCGCATGCTGCGGATCCCAAAGATCATCGAAGCCCTGCCGCAGCGTGTCTGGCAGCGTGTCCCGACTGGCCGCAAAGCTAATGCTGAAGAAAACAAATTGCACCACGAGCAGCACAACCAACAGCACGGCATGCTGCAAGGAAGAGTACAGAGAAATCAGTTGAAGAACATCCAGGACCATCCTCCATCACTCACACAAATCAACATGGTGCGGGAGTCCCTGCCCAAAGCCACACAGCCAAAGATGCTCGTCAGAATAATGACACAGCCCAGGAGGATGCACAGCACAGCGGCCAGCTGCTCGCCATGATCCAGCACTCCGACGCGCTGCTGATCCTCGAGACTCTCCAGCAGCCAGGCGCCATACCAGATGAGCAGGCAGCCACCCACCTAAGCAGAGATCCATCATCAAGCCAATGTCAAGCTATTTTTAAGCACTTACAGCACAAATCACGCTGATGACACACAAAATGTATCTGAGCAGGCGGCTGCTGCAGTACATGACGAGACGCCGAGAGGGAGAAGTTCGTTCACAAAAGATTTTCCGCTGTGGATGCGCACACCTTGGGCCTTGCCATCAACTCAACGACTAAAGTCTCATAATCTACATTTGTGTGACAAAGCGCTTGGGCAACGATTAAAGCCAATAGATACACAAATGTCGTTGCAGTGGCCAAAACACACAAGGCGAAAAAGAGAGAAAGATGAAAGCTCAGGCGGAGAAAATATATATTCGAGAATATGGAAAACAGACGAGAAAATTAGCGTCGCACGCCCACGGATGTGCCCCACAAAGCAGCATGTGTCCACCCTCACCTTGTGGCCCAGTCCCGCAGCTTATTTATCATCCAAATGATGTCAACAGCACAAAACCAGAAATGATGTTTCCCCTGAGATGAGAGAGAATTTTGATTGCCCCCCGCGAGCGACAAAGAACTACAAAAGAATTTCGCTTTATTTTGGCTTTGGCTTTATCGAAACGTTTGTTACAAAAGATTGCGGCTTAGATCGAGCTTAGATTAGATTACAAATTACAAACTAAATGGTTAGTTCTCGCACCCAAAGATGCCACATCTGCTTGTGGAATTTCCACTGCGAGTTCTTTGGCCTTAAGTGTTGGTTTCTTTTCTACTAGAAATGCATTGCACATCGCACTGAAAAAATGTTTTGGCACTTATTTTTGATAGTATTTCGAGCGACGCCAGCGATTCACAATGCTGTTGGCCAGCACATAGGCCAAAAGGGCGCAAATGATCTACAAAAAAAAAGGGAAACCAATTTTATTGGCTTGTTGTCTGAAGACCATTCCCATCACTCACCTCCACTGCAACCAGCACCAGCGAAACAAAATTAAATGTTGTCCAACGTGAGGCTATAAAGTCCAAAAACTTTTGCCGACAACCCTCCAGATTGAGTTTGTCGGACTCACTGTTGTAGCAGCTATTTGGTGGCAGCATATAATCCTTGGGTCCCACATTGCCGCAGCAGTCCAGCCAGCGTTCCAGGCTGGCAATTTGGCTCTGATTGCCCGGCTTAATGGGCACTGGCTGATCGTTCCACAGCTGATCGAAGGTTTTGTCCACGTTGATGAGCAGCGAAGTTTGGAAGATCCACAGGAAGCCCACGACCAGCACCTCGAGCACAATCAGGACTACCAAAAGGAACACGAACTGAGCACGAAGGACAGCAGGGATTCATTTTTGGCTTGTGTACATTTCTGGGTAATGTTTACTTACCGTCTTGGATATATTGCTGCTCTCGCGCGCTGCACCCAGCGAGCCAAAGAGCGCCGCCAGCACCACCACAACGCCCAGGCCAATGATGACAAAAGCGGCGGTGTTGAAATGCTCAAATTTATAGACAACATGCACGCCAAGGCCGATGACAATCAGGCCGAAAATCTGTCGTAAGGAGAGAGAGAGCGAGAACGTTGATGAAATACGATAAATTGAAGGTCAGCTGCTGATTTGTTAGCATATTTTCCACGTGGATGGATTACTCATACGCAGCAGGCTCTGTGTATTACGTATACGTCGCGTGGTTGTCTCCGATCGTTTTCCCCACTTGCAACGCTAGTTGCAACTTTAAACTGAACGCAATGACTCATCGCGCCCCACCAATCCAATGCGAAATATCACACACTGCTGGCAAATGTGGACTCTGCTTGTGTGTTGGCCATTTGGCAGTTTGCCCAGAGCTCTGCCTGAACATACAGAAAAGAAAAGCAACGAATATTCCTGCAGCTGCTTGTACACATTTCCATGGTGATCTTGCAGCAACCTGTTGCCAGCAACCTTTTGTACATTGTGTACCCAGTGTTTACGATTGTTGACAGCCAAAAACCAGTCGCCAGATTTGTTGACTTTGAACGTGACAAGTCGTGCCCCAACTTTCAAGCTCTGCGCACATGCTGTACTTACAAATTATGAATGATTTAGCCGCTTGATCATTTGAGCACAGCACACAGTTTTATAGATTTTGGGCTAGGCTTACAAGTGGCTTGGACTTGGCTCCAAATTGTGCATAATAAATGAAGCCAACAGCCAAGTTTGGTGCTGTTATAATCTAAAAGAGGTAATCGATAGTGCGCCATCAATTAGCAGTAAAGTTAGCTGGGCATTATGTGGTATCTATGGGCTATCCATTTAATTGTAATTTATTATGCTGCCCCCAAAAATTCAAGGGCTCCGAGAGACAGCAACAAACTGCGTCATCGGCACAAAGGCACGTTCTGTCGGGGGGAAATTTGGGCACACATCAAATGTAAATGAAAAGCATGCCCAAATCTGGAATTGCTTAGGAACATTCAGCCATAATTAGACTTTGTAATTGAAACTTAATTCATAGCAGAAACTACACAAACATTCGGGGCTGAACTCTGCACTCAACTTTCTAGTTTTGATATCTACAGACACAAGTCACAAAGTGCTTAAGGCACTAAGCGGACAGACAGACACTCTCGCTCAGGTGGTGTTTCAATAAAAAACGATAAGAACTTGGTGTTGGCAACAGCCGAAAAGCAAAGGAAAAACCTTCTAATAATTTGCTCTCATTTTAGCGAGCAATTAAACGCAATTGTCAAGCGAGTGTGCAGGGTCGGAGTGGTGTGGGGACACTCGGCCTGCCACATAGATAATAATTATAGCATTCATTTGCATGTTAACTGATAAGGCTGCTCCACAGCCACACTCCGCACAGATCAGGCAGCGTGTGGGCACAGATGGCAGCTGGCAGTTGGTCTGAGATTTATGTGGGTTTTGCTGTCGAAGGTGAAACAAAAGGCTGGGGCCCTACCCTATCCACACCCATAATGAAGTAATGCTGGGCCGAGCAGCTCGTCGCGCCAATTCGACAGCTTAGTCGGCTGGAACCGACCACGGAAAATTGCGCATACGCCGCGTTGTGGCATTTCCACAGCCTTCGGCCGCATTCCGAAAATCAAACAAATATGCCCCAAAACATCTAAGAAATGACATCAACGAGCAAGTAAAATAAACTTCAGCTACGAACAAAAATCAAACAAAATTCTAAATCTCTTTTTTTTTCCGTTCAGGGTTAAGTAGTGCCAGGCGGACGGGCAGTCGAACGGACTGGCGTGGGTGACCAAGTTTTGCCTTTAGCTGCCAGCTACATAAAAAGCTCAGCGAGCAAATAAGCAACAGCACTAAATAAATAAAATATTAAATCATTTTGTACGCCAAAATATATTTTTAAAACACAAAAACTTTTAACCAGAAGGACAACGGCCCGACAACTGGATGTTCGACATAGTTTTGGTTGGTTTTATGGCTCGCATTTGCATGGAAAAAACAGCACACAAATTGCCTTCAATCATCATTTGAATGCTAAAACTAAACGACTAGCAAATAGCAAATAGCTTGATGTTCTATGCTATCGAATAAACAATTGCCCCGCCAATCCCTGACCAGACCAGAGACTGATGAGTGAACTTGGACCAACTTGAGGCATTGTCTGGGCGGGTAAATGTTAATTTTACTCCACAGCCAGTTCTCTGGCATTTAGCCAAAGGCAGATGCCCTGCAATTAGCCTTGGCCAGCTCTAAGAGCTACGTTTAATTCGTGTCTTAATGCTATCGGGGGATCATTTCAGAGGATCATTTCAGTCCGCTTACTCACAGCATAGACAATGTCCCAAAAGAGGGCAAAAACTTTCAGCACACCGGTGGAACAAGCCATTTTTGATTATTCAATCTCAAACAGAACACCAACCAAATATTTGTATTTATTTTTACAAAGGTTTCGGCGCACAAGTGTTTATTTTTATCGCAAGTGCTTTCTCGTGCACTTGGCAACTCGCGCGGTTTGTTGACAAACGGAAAATATTTGAAGCTCGTTGCTCGTGGTTGCCACCAATAACCCCGGTTCAGTTCATGTTCTCCGCGCGAATGTTAGCTGAAAACTGTGCGGAGCGTTTCGTTCCACAATAGTTTGCTGATAGCGCGCAAAAACCAAATTCAACGTTTGGCGAGCGCAAAACGCGAACGCCGTGGCAACGAAACGAAACGAAACGAAACGAAAAGCTTTGGCACGAAGTGGAAACGAAACGAGACTTGCTGCCGGTGCGGCGTTTTTCACACTTATCTGTGTGTACATAGCTACACACATATGTACATACATATACATACATATAGAGCTATAGCCAGAGATTTTGGTGCTATTTTTATTTGATTATATTTTGCATGTGCAGCTCGCGCTCTGTTTTTGTGGCGTATAAAATAAATCAGTTTTAGTTGAATTCGGTGTGCTGTTAGCTGTGGAAATCTGCTGCCAGGGTTACGTTTTTGAGGATGGAAATACATTCCAGCGAGTGGGACATATTTATGGAAAGCACATGGGAAAATTGTGTACATTTTTTAGTTGGAAAAAGTTCAGCCACGTAGCTGATAAATGAGCAAATAAAGGGACGGACATACACAATGGTTGGAGGATCGATGGGAATGATGGAACAGCATGGAACATCTTCCCCTGTGCCGCTGCTCTCTTCTTTAAGGTCCAACATTTCTGCCACAAATTTAATGCATTTTTCGTTGACTGCTCTTTATTTAGAAATATATTCAAATAAATAATTACTAAAATTAATTCACATTGCTTAGCCTAACAATTGAGTGTGAGTGTGAGTGTGTGTGTGATTTATAGCTAATTGCATTTAATTTGTGAGTTAGTTAAGCAGTGTAAATGTGACTGTGTGTGTGTGATTAAATACTCGTATCGCCCGCTTTCCAATTCTATAAATTTTCAACAATAGTTTCAACAATCTCATTGAACAATAATAATAACAATTTGATGTTTTATCAAAAATGAACCAATTATTTGGCAAATCTCGTGGGACTAGTCTTAGAAGTACGAACGTCGCTGATCGTTGCGAATGCTGTTGCACAGCCGAATCGAAATGACGCTGATTAGGAGCTATAAAAAAAGGGGAAAAATGGTTTGAGATACGCTTTGGAAGTGTCTGGGGAACACAGACCTCAATGCCAATTAGCACACCGCCGAGTATGTCGAATATTTGCAACAATTGCAGCCAATAGTTTTCAAATTCCACGCGGCAGCCAGTGTGTATGAGGTTCTCGGCCTTGCTCTTGTCATGATTGCGGAAACAGGTCTCTGGCGGCAAACGTTCGTTGACAATGTAATCCTGTGGGCTGCCACGACCGCAGCATTGAAACTGCAAGGAAAAGGGGTCTTAAAGAGAACCTCAAATCGTTACAAACTCCGACACTTACCCAATTCTGATAGATGGACATGGCGCCGGGACTGTTGAGCTCCTCCTCCCAAGTGGCCTCCAGCGGATTGGCCAGATTGGAGGCCACAGACTTTTCGTTGTGAATGAGCAAAAAGACAACAGCAAACTGTGTGGCAATAATCAGCCACAGGAATACAACGAACTAGAGAGACAAATCAAACATTAGAGACATGAAAATGGGATTAATTTGAAAGACTTTTCCACCTACCGTCACAGTGCAGCAAACATTCTCCTTCCAGGCAGACAGATAGCCCCACAAGAGGATTACCAGGGCAACCGCTCCTAGATAAATGAACGCGTAGGCCGACAGTCCACCGATTTCATTCAGATCATAGGACACCACCACATAAATGCCAAAAGAAATGAGCACCAGGGCCAGCAGCTACAAAACAAAAACAAAAATTAATAATAATTGAAGACAACAATGCGCGGGACCAAAAGTGAGACTTTAATGGACCTCAGACAAGTCTCAGCAGAGTGAGGCACTCAAATGGCATAGGCGCCCAGCAGGCTAGTCTGTGTGGCGTCCGGGAATGGTCTGGGTGTGGGGGTTGGGTGTCTATTTATGCCACGCTATGAAATGGGTCACATGGAGGTTATCCCTTTTGTGTGCAAACAATTTGCGTTTGCGCTGTGGACAAGGTCGTGTTTGTGTAGTTAACTTAACGCCTTATATCAGGTAACAGAAGCACTTGACAAAACTGATTGTGTTGTTTGCATATTCGTAAATTATTCAAAATTTATTCAAGCCGGAAAGCTAATCATGACGCAAGCGTTGATATTTCTAGCCGGTCAACGTTGCACAAACATCGATGAGTAAACACACGAGTTGTCAAGCATATTTCAGCCAAAGACAGGTACCAGTTAATTGGCTTTGATTGTGGCAGCTTATTTATCATTTATAAGCTGGCAACATATGCCCTTTGGCACGCTTATCGATTGGACATTCAAAATGGATGAGCCTACACTGACCTTCAGCACCATACGTTTATTCTCATCGTTTGATTGCAATTAAAAACGTGTAAATAAACCAAAACAATTGATAATCTTTGAAACTAGTTTATTGATAGATGTTCTGCGTGGCAACACAAACACTTGATGATGTTTATGTGATTCATTGTGTTGCAGCGCGAAAACAAACTCATAAATGGAGGCGGTAACTGCATGATTTGCTGTGCGTTTCTTTTATCGGAACACAACAGATATGAGAACTACTAGGAAACGGGGCAAACAATTATTAAATTGCGGCAATTGGTTGAGCGATTGTGGCTGTGGCTGTTTACAACAGGACAATTGACCCAATTGGCTTGGCAAAAGCAAAGGCACAGGGAAAGAACAGCCACTCTGCCTCCTTCTCGCAAAGGTAAGAGAAAGAGCAGCCACTCCTCCTCCTCGTACTTACCGCGCAAACTATGTCCAGCGCATAAACGAACACCTTGAGAGCCGACGTAGAAGACATGATGGCGGCGGCGACGGCGACGGCGACGGCGACGGCGGGTGGTTGAGCTGGTCGTTCAGTCCACTGGATTATGCTTCCTCTCAGCTGGCAAAAATACCTGAGATTCCTTGGGATATTCCGTTCCGAAGTTCCACTGGGCCTGGTCGGGGGGGGGGAGAGCAAGCTGCTTGCGCAGAGGTAAACTTGTTTTTATTTTTTTGCTTATTTTCTTTTGTGTCTCTCCTTCGTGCGCTCTCAGCTCAGGAAGCTCAACGGCGGCGACTTTCTGTGCTCAATGAGATCATAACGTAATCTTTGGAGTGCCTTGTGCTTATGCACTCTCTCACAGTGTAATTCTTGGAAACGCCAATACGTTGTCACTTATCAATGTTCAATGTTTACACGTTCGCCCCACAAGTGAGACACCGACTAAATGCACTTTCCCAGCGCGTATCGTTTCGTTTCGCTGCGAGAGTTGAATGACTCAGTGGCATTCTCTGTCTAGCCCTACCTTCGGCACGAAGCAAATGCGTTGGACCGTTTTCTCTGTCGAACGCCAAAATAAAAGTGAGCGCAAAAAGCTCACCGCACATCTGACTATTGCTGTAGAAAGCTCCTAGCGGCGTGCACGTTGCCAGACCAGAGCAACAGAAAGCAACTGAAGAGAGAGAGAGAGAGAGAGAGCGCTGACTTTTAAGGCCTGTGCAAACGGAACTGCATAACCGTTACGGTTTATTTAAGCTTGCCATTAGTTCACGGTAGTACGTGATTACCACATACAAAGTGCATATGCTGAAAGCTGTGCGGGCATAAGATAATTCAGTTTTTATTTATAAAAAGTTGCACTTTTAGTTACCTTCACAATATATGCAGGTGATTCCACCATAAGCATCAAATGACTGACTATACTGCAGCGCAAATCGTATGTTCCAGAAAATAAACAAAAGGTTCACCAGTGTAGACACCACAGTCCAAGTGAATATGATGCCCTTCAACTGGAGTCGAATTAAAAGCTTATGTATTATGATGTCGAATTTTCCCAAAACAAACCTTCAATTGGCCGCACACTAATGACAGACCGTAGGCTGAATTGGCCATTTGCACGACGCCGAGCATTACCCAGATGTTTAAGACTTCTAAAAGGTAAATAGAAAAAAATGTAATATATAAATAGTAATTTATTTATGTTCCTTGACCTTCATTAAGTGCCTCTTCATCGCTGAAGAATATTATTAACAAATTTATGCTCATCAAACCCAACAGATAGGCATTTAGTATTAAAAATGCGGCAAAGACAACTACCAACAAATTTTGACACATCGCAAGGGAGCGTGGAACATGAACTAATTTGGTAGTTCGAGAATACAACAATTAGTGGCAATATGCACCCGTAATATTAACTAATTTATAACACTCAAAGAAAGTATTTTCGATTAATATTTATTGCGTAAACTAATGAAAAAACCAGCCCCAATTATGTTTGCTCCATGGAGCAGTACTTGAGGTTTGAGCAGTTCCAGCAAACTAATGCCAAAACATAAATGGCAAGACCTAAAAGTATTTAAATTTCGCATCTTCCTACGCAACTGCAATAAATGTAAAGATGAATAGGCCTCCCAGTGCTGCTTAAAAAAACCATCTCTAATTCGACAATAACAAACACCAAAGTCCACAGGCAGAGCAGCAGCTTTGTCTGCAAGCAAACAATAAATTATAAATATATTTTTATTTTATATCTTCGAAGGTAGACCCACTAATTGGTAAACATATTCTTCAGCAACAAATTCCTTGTACATATCTGGTTCATAAAAGTGTTCAAAAAGAGCGCGACAAAAGCAGTTGGCAAAAATAAGAAATAAGCGAAAATGGAACACATTGGCCGGCACATGCTCGATGCTTATGTTTTGGAATGAGGAGGAGTACTAACTTCCTGCCATGGCATGTAGCTACATAATTTTATTACCAGTCATTTGATGTACATATTTACAGGCACCTCAGCAGATGGATGTGGGGCTGGCTGGCATAATTGGGAAACAACACAAAAATGTTCCTTTGCTAGGTTATCCTTTCACTTTTCTGCCTCTTCAATGCTGCAATTTTGGAGATTTTTACAAGTGCTGCCAAGCAAGAGCAAAACATAGATGGCCAAACCTAGAAAAGTGTAACCAAATTTGCATTAATTAATATTGAAATCATTTCCAACTCACATATGTGCATAAAATGCA